ATGTTAGAATGAGAATAGTCATACCTCATTACATGCAATGAAATTTTTATGTGAGAAAATAACCAAGGAATTTCCTTCCAATTGAACAAAAAACAGACTTCAGTAGAAGTGCCACGACGCTTGTCGGCTGTCGATGGAAAATTAATTCGACCAGTAGATTATCACGACTGTTATATAGTCCTGTACATAATACGTAAACACTAAGTATATTTTTTTTATAGTCTTCTACACTACAATAGAATAATGATATAGGTAAACACACTAAAAAGTTAGCACTACTGTTGAAACCATTAGAAAAACCAATTACTTTTATTCCAATGATCTCTGATGGTTGTTACTACTCTATGTTGAATACCATTTAGTAAGCTGAGAAGTAATAAAAGTAAGTAAATATGAAGCAAAAACCTTATAGAATTAAAAAAAATAGATTATAAATTAGAAAAAATAATTATTGTATTACATACTACTACATATCATGAACAATCCTAATAGCTCAAAATCAAATTCTTAATTACACAATTCTAAATTCCAATTTAAATTATCTCAAATACATTTGACATGCTCAGAATTTCCTTTATCCGCTTGAAATTAGTTAACGGCCCCCCGCATAACTAATTATTAACATAAGCCTTGAGCATCTGCAACAAAATAAATGTCATGTGTATTGCTGAAGAAATGTAGAGACATAGACACCATTTTTGTAGACTCCCATGGTTCATTCAGTTCAGTACATAACATCGCCGGAGGTAACTTCTCTGAAGCCGCCAATACGCGCTAATTACATTAGGTACATTTGGTAAAATACACAATGTTTTAAAGTCGATGAAATGCGAATTAAAAGCCACTGAAGTTTTTTATGGGAACGAGCAGTAAATCATTATACACCACACGCTATATCATGGTGCGTATGATAGCTTATATTTCAGCATTTCCTACTATAAAGACTTGAATTAGTAAAATTTTTCGAGTTAAGATTAACGTAATAGTTATTATATACCTTTTAGGATAGACAGTAGTTTTAAGGAACGCAGTTGACGTAAATAATATACGTACTTATATTTGTGTTTTAAATACCTCATGGTGTAAAGCGTAATGTATATAATAGGTAGATAAGCCGCAATATTTCACTAAAAAATTAGGGTCTTTTAATAAAAATTTAGTTTAATGAATTTCATCAACGGGGACGTAAAGTAATAAAAGTTTGTAACTTAATTATTTGTTTACCTTTGCGAGTGCATCCAAAACAAGACACGTAACCGTAATTTGTGACACCCGTCAATTTAACCCGGTCATAGACACAAATATCTCCCACGGGCACTATTTATAACAACATTGTACAAATCTCACGTGTAGAGTGCCACAGCCGCTGCCGGTTCAATATACGATGTCAACCGTACGGTGACATGTTTCATTTCCATTTCAACATGTTTTAAATCTTTTATCATTTTATTATATTGCAACATCTGGCATCAGTTTCCTTTTATTTTGCAGCTATAATTTACGACGCGTTTTACTATGATACAACTATAATTTATGTCTCTATATGCGATTAGTAAAAAAATTAAACATGTTTTAATTTGAAATTATAAAAACCTATGAGCGTTAGTGAAAAGAAGTTCACGAAAGGCAACACAAATACAGTGAGAAGCAACTTCTCAGTTGATGGAACGACTACATGTATACGATTATAATGTTTCTAGGAGTCTATACAGACTAGGTACTGGTACAGGACTGTTGTTCATTGGCGTCTATTCTTAGATATCTATTTACATCTCTTCCTTCGTTTACTTTAATAGTTTGTTGTACTAAATCTTAAATAAATAACATGAGTCACTGCTATTAGATTAAATATATAGAAAGAAACTATCTTAAAATCTTTCTTTAGCGTGTCTTATCTAGAATTTCAATTATATAAAAAAAAGTAGCAATGTTATTCTCAAGAAATAAGGAAATATAGATACCTATTTAAACCTTGCTAGATAAAGTCAATAAAACAGTTTTGTAAACGACATTATGAAGAAATTTAGGTTTATTTATTTAATCTTATTTTATTAATCAGTTATAAAATATGTTATTACTTTCTTAACTTAATCAGCACCCTATTGCTGATTAAGTTAAGAGAGACATACTTTACTACCTACTATCTATCCTATAAGCCCATGCTCTACTATATTTATTCCCTAATTTATAAAAACTTAAATATCCTAAGAACCCACAGGTGAAGATCCTTGATTTCATATATATGTATGTCTTTGTATTGAAAGTGCAAAGACAGATTGCCTATACAACACTTTCACATACAATAAAACAAATTATATGCATATAATTGTAAGTACAATTTCGCACTCGTGATCGTGAACCTGTCTCCTGTCAGACGAGTTTCATTCGTTACCTAATACCGTTGCGTAAGGATTTGGTTTGGACGAGTATTCACGTGGTAGACGGACTTGAAAATACGATGCGAAGTTCCCACACATCAATATGTATGTATCTATCTGTGCACAGACATGTTTCATTAGCATGACACGCCGTGTATAACAGCGCAGTATGATTGTATTGTAATACCAGTTTGGAGTTCCTTCCTTTAAAGAACCTTCGATTCCCTATTTTGATAGTTGGCCTACTTAGATAACTTACATTTATAAGTAATATTACTGGTAACACAAACAGGCTAATTATTCCACCTGACTGCATGACAAGTGGTATGCAATCAATAATCTTTTTGGGATTTAGTACTAACAGTATATGCTGGCGAGGTATCAGAAGAATGATAGGATAAGCCTATTAAATTGGTGTTAAATAACTTTCCTTTTTTATTTCTTTCTTTAACAGATTCCATTGTATATTGATAAGCCAGATAAGTTAATTCTCATTTTGAGAATTTGCCTATCCAAGTAATTTACATAGCAAACAGATATAAGGTATATAATTTTGAGGCAATAAGTTTGGAAAACAATAAGGTTTTACATAGAAATTTGTTACAGCTGTACCCAATTTCTTGTTCATCTATCGTAGTTGCATTGCTTATCTCTGAAATATTACCCACTAAAATATTACACAACACAAACTAAATATACAGGTTTCCCTGACTTTACATAGAAGCATTGTGTTTAATTAATTTCAAGACAATTCACACAGCGTAATCTAGATCCAAGTTAAGCTAGCTAAAACCTGTGTGGTGGGTACTAGATAACTGATACAAATACATAGACATTCTGTTTTCGTAAAACTTACATATTATACATAGAAAACACCCAGAAGGACATAAAATACAAATGTTTGTGCCATGCGAGGATACGAACCCGCGACCATCGGAAGTAAAGCGGTGGGCTAAACCGCTAGACCTTCTAGGTCGTCAAATATACATTCTTATTTTAAATAATATGAGTTAGTGATTATATTAAACTAATATTATGTTGACGTACCTACCTACAATATCAAAATACAGATTGCGGAATATAATGCCAATAAAATGAAAAAGGAAGTATGAAATATATACGTGCAATATTATTGCAATATCAGACCTATTTGGATGTCAGTGGTCGTAAAAACTTTGGGGATAAATCATCAATTTTCTCTAAGTCTCCGTCTTTTCCGCCTTGGACTTCCCGTAATATTTATATGGCAAACAAAAAATATGTTACTAAACGCGCAACTCTGTTTTCTTATTGCCATAAATACATGCGTTTCGCTCATGCAACTGCAATATACTAGTATTTCTTATAAATGTTGATATTACATGCGTTTCGCTCATGCAACTGCAATATACTAGTATTTCTTATAAATGTTGATATTTTGTTTTATATCTATAGAAAAAAATCCTAAAATCAAATATTTACGTTTGACTTATTAATGGTAGATACAGTAAATTTTAATTCTTTCATTCCGTGGTACTAGTTTGTAATCTGAATACTTTTTTATTCCAGTTTATTTCCATTTCGTCATGTCATAATTTAAATAGTAGATACTGAAACATAAATTCGATTAAACTTTGGTGATTAACAAATTTCCTACTAGTCATTATCAACGTAAATAGTTTTGAACATATTTAGGCACTATAGAAGAAACCGTATAAGCTTACTAAATGTAAATTACAAAAACATACATCGAATTAAGTCATCGATTAAAATATAAGGAACATAGATTTTGTATTTCTGATAATGGATTACAGTCCAGGCTAAAAAGCTTTAGATAAAAATAGATTGCAATATATCTATATATTATTTTTTATACATAGTCGCTATACCGTCCAGCTTACGGGATATTCATTCCCCCTTCCCCATTCATATCGTAATCGAAGAGAGATAAAGGATTGTATAGATAATCTAATGGTTCACCATCCATATAGATTTTGTCTTTCTTTTAGATAATAATATAACAGTTGTCATATTTTATACGGATGGCATGGCATAAAAAATAATGCTAAAAGCTGATATGATATGATATGTATAGGTACTTTTAATAAATACCATTTAAGGAAGTATAATACTTATATCAATAATAGATCCATTAATTTAAATGTTGTATGGACATAATATTATATGTTACACGTAGGTTACACATATATTATATGTTACATTATTTTTTAATAGGTTTTACACACATAGACAACAAAAGTTTTGTATGGATCTGAGAGCGTGTATTAAAATCGCTAAAATTTATTACTATATACAGTAGGTATGGAACAGCAGTAGGTATTGGAAAAGTGTTGGCCACACATGTTCCTATAAGCTATAACTTATAATACGTACCCACTTAGCGACTATATGAAACCAGCGGTTAGCCACCATGCGCAAGTGTGATTAGACGGATAATCATGGTTTTTAAAATAGTTATGTACCTACATGTTCGTGAAACTAAAACAAAAATATGAACATTCAGTTCAGATTTTTCGTTTCCCGCGAATAATCTAGTAATACTAATAATTAATTACAAAACGAATCTTCATGCAATTTAGATAGATACTTTGTTAGAACTGATTTAGTTAAATTGTTTTTCAGTGGCACTGGTGTTGGAGCATGCTGATATTGGCGCTAGATAGTTCACAAGGCGAGAAATATACACTAGGATACCTGACTGGCTCGAAGCGTAGGCCTGGCGACTACAGTTATTCACGACCAGGGCGTGTTATTTCTGGTAAGTTGGTATAAAGTAATAAAATGTTTTACACAAATTCCGTCATTTAAGGTTTTTTAATATAATGAAATTAATTTCATAATGAGTATTTAATTGATTAAGTTAATAATGATAAATAAACCACATACAAGTGTGGTAATCGGCAATCGAATGGTTTTTATCGTCTGTGGCGATATTTTTTGGGCGGGAAATTTATCAAACATATTTTTCAATGAATTTCAAAAACACCTTTGATAATTTCCCGCTTTCAAATAGACTTTTACTATACTCTACAAATAGACTTTTCTGAGTCTTTTTCTAATAATAACATTAAAATTATACTTTATCTTCATACTGGTAAATATTTACTTCTTCAATTAAATTAAATAAGTGAAATATTGTTACTTAAATATAGCAAGCTGAAGTAAGCTATTGTTTTTAAAATAAATTGTGAATAATTAAGAATGAACCTCGTACAATACCGAGGTTTAAAATTGTCATTTAGCAATAAATTTGACGTGCCTACTTCATTTAATATTAATTAATTATTTTACAAGAATGTCTCAAGCAAACGTATTAAGTCTAAAATACTCTATGTTTAACATTTAACTGCCAGAGCGATCTAGACCATAGTAATTAATTCTTGACGGCACTTGGCGGCACTCGTGGCGTTAAATGATTTCAGTAGCATGTTACGCATACCTATAACAAATTAATTATTTATTTAATCATTTAATCTCCTTGTTCACAGGGGCGATATCAATGGCGGTAGAAGAAATTAACGACAAATTACTAGGACCAATGGGCCATTCTTTAGATTTTGTCGTCGCTGAAACGTACGGACAAGAAGAAGAATCTATAAAACAAGTACATGTTTTTATATTTATTTTCCTCTTTCGAACAGTGCTTCAAGTAGTATTGTATAGAAGTTTCCTAGACTACTACTTTACTTTGTTAGAGTTTTGCTTTCAATTTTATCTATTTGTCAGCAGTCTTTTCTATAAAACTTGTTTATATGTAAAGAATAATAAGTAAAAATATACAATAGCTAGTATAAACAACATCATCTCATAGAAGATCGGTCATATACTACATATGCGAATGTCTCAATAATTATCGAATATATCTCATATAAAAAACTATTTGACAAGAAAGGGAAGAAATGTACGTCGACATGTGTAATATTATTTAATGTACGCGCACCTTTGCGATGTCTTCATATTAAATTGCTGACATGATATTACAACTAAAACAATATTTGCGTAGACGTCCTATATTAATATGAAACGAATTTAATTCAAATGTATCTTTGAGTATGTTATATTATGGAATTGCTAATTATTTCCAAAACGCTCATTCCTAATCTCGATTGTTATTGCTTAAAATTCATGGCTGATCTAACCAAAAGTTCCAGCCCAATTTAGAAAGTTCCTTAATCGTCACGACCGAAAATCATTTTCGTCTACGTGACACAAATCCTCAATGCGCTAAAGACAAACAGTAATAAATTATGATGAAAAGAGCTTTCTAAACAATCATTGTTATCAAGCGTTAATCTTATAATGATCCTACATTATCTGTTAGTTAATTACTCATCGAGACAAATCTAACGAGTTAAAATTCTGCATGTAAATCAGAGGAAATCCTGTGCTTATTTTTCATGTAGGTACATCATAAAATCTACGTTAGACCATTGTCACTGTACTACATTGTCACTCAGACAATAATACACTTATTTGGATTATTTTGATAATATGAATTATAATTAAACATTTACTTAAACAATAAACGAACAATCAGAATCAAATAATACTCTATCGATAACAATAAGAATTACAGTATCTGTATATTGTATATAATATTCCAATATTCAGAATCAATAAAATATTACATAAGATACAGTTGAATACAGATCCCCCTCCCCTTTTTAAGGTAGACTTTCAAATCCGTACAAACAGATAAACGATTTATTACAACTATCACTCAGATACGACAGTAACGGTATGCGTGGCTAGCGCAAATTTTATGGGCCATAGACCGAAGTTTACAGTGGTCATAACTTCATGGAACAGAATGGGAGCTACATCCCGTATATAATAACAGATGTTTCATAACAAATCTAAAATTGGTATTTTAATAGTATTATAATAGTTATTTTATTTCAAAGCTTTTATATTGAGTATTCATGTATATAAATGAATAAAATGCCTACAGATTAAAAAATGAGTTAGTGGTTTGTTATTAATAGATATATAGATTGATCAGGAATATATAATAATAGTAAATATGTCCCATTGACTATCTCAGAAAATAACAATTACCTACAATTTGTCCCATGTTGATGAGATATGTGATGTCAGATATTCTATTTTTCACATTTTTAATCGTAAGTGTAATGAATAATATACCGGCGGCCCTCATGATGATCACAAACACATCTTACAAAGCAAGCTGCTTAGAAGCTGAAATAGGTGAGACTGAGGTGTAAATACCTATAGTCTGCTTTTATTTATCTCGAGAACTAAATTAATAGCTGTAGCGGGGTAGTGGTGTACCTGCAAGAACGATTTGTTAAATCGCACACGACTTGTAAATTGTACCTATTTAGGTATTTACCCACACTGGCCACTATTAACAAAAGTCTTCTTCGATAATAATACTACTACTGAATTTATGTACTTATGATATTTGTTAAAGTCTAATAACAATTTATTCACAATATAGATAACAACAAGTACATATGTTTCCTACAATATGGCGTTTTATCGCATTCTATAGGTAGGAACCTGATGCATTATGTAGGCATTGCATTATTGTGTCATATAGTCATAATAGATGCAAAGAAAATTATCAATTTACCTATATTATTTAATAAGTGTATAATAAACTACTGTGTTATACCATATACCTACTAAGTACTAAATAAAGTACATTGCATAATTATTGCTCAATAGGTACAACTTATATTAATATAGGTATAACCACAGATAATATAATATTACATAGTATAACATTAGATTCCTGTAATGTATTGTGTTGTAGTAATAACAAGACGACTATCATATTCGCAAATCAAATATCATTAGCATTATTCGCAATTAGTTGTAATAAGAACAGATATATCAACTTTCACTCGGAGTAAGTTTATTTAATTTATATTAACCTTGTAAACATCTTTTATATGCTGCATCAACCATTTAATAGGTTATAGTAATGTCACTTTAATAGATATTACTAAGGTACCTTTGCACCATCAATTGTACCGGTTTGAACTTTGTCATTTCATAGGTATCTGTCTCTGTGTCATCTATTTCAGTATTTATGCTTATGTATATAGAAGCGACGGTAATTACTTACAATCGTGTCTTACCACATACTACTTACATTCAAAATATATTTTTAAAATAATCGCTAAGATATACTCTCATTTTGTTCTACTGTCCTATTCTGCTGTAATGATACCAGTTGTCTGTTGGATTAAAGGGCTGAACCAAATATGATGAGTGCTGTATAGATATTGATGAATTGATGTTTGTAGCTTCTTTAAACATGTATAACTCTGTAGATAAAATCACAACTAATAATATAGACTATTATGGGTACTATATTGATGTTAAAAAATCTTTCAGTATGATTTAGATTATTAAAAAATAGGAAAAAATACTAAATGAATGAATCAAAAGTCGATCGGCGAAAGATGTTATAGTAAAATAGTAAACTTATGTAATTGGTCAATAGTGACAGCACAGTGGATTATGATGGTGACAACTCTTGCATAAGTCAGTCATATTTACATTCGCAATTAATAAACTAAAACTGTCTACGTACCTACGTCACAATTTGGCACACGAGCGAAGAGATGCTCATTAGAATCGATATCTCTACATATCAATCCAACTCACCTACTAACTTTCCTGTTACATGACAATTAGAAACTCTACCGAGATAAGCTCCGCCGAGTTTATGCCAAATCGTATCTATACAGGATCACGGCAAAGGAGGAGTAAGATTTATATTTTAAGTTTAATTCTAAAGGTACCGGTTTTTTTACAAATAAAATAAAACAAAAAGCATATTACAAATAAAATTTAAACTATAAGAACCATGTTGAAAAGAGAAAAATGTAGAATAAAGTACAAAATATTAAGTAGGAAATCGATAGTGGATTAAATAGTAGTTGATTAATTTCCCAATTAGTAGTATTGCTTCCGATGTTTATTGGAAATCCACACATTCCTGAGAACTAAGAGATACGGGTTCGAATTCTCGAATAGGATTGTCGAAAGTTAAATTCCTCTACAACAATTTTACTCGTACTAGTACTGGTTGTGAAATATTTTTAAGATGTTTAAAAATCGGAACATATTTTATATATATGACTTCGTTTTATAAAATACACAAACACAAAAAAAATGATAATTTGTAAGATCGAGATTCGACATCCTCCTCTTTGAGATTCTCTATAAAGTTACGATATGATTTAAAACCAAAGTAAGTCGATTTGACTTTACGGGCGCAATGGTTTTATCCTGCCTTAATTTTAATACATAAAATTATTTTATTGATACTACTTTCCGGTGTTTGAACAGTATTTCATTACTTTTATCGAAGTAGAGCACATTTAATATTATTCACAAATATAATGAATACTGGTAAAGATTATCTACATTTTTCTAATAATAATTCTTAATTATATACATTGTATTGAGGTTCTCAATTTGAAAAATCAACAGTAAGTAGCAGAGTTAATGTGTTCTTCAGAACCCACAATTAAAATTGACAAAATATTTCCTCAACATCAATATAATTGCTTGGTCGTTCTAATTCAGTTATAGATTGCACTTACAAATAATGTTTTCTTATGTATCTATAACATGTTTATGTTCTGGTAACAACCGTAATTGCGAAATATTGTAATTATATCAGTACCTCATCTGTGGAATATCAAGTGCATTATTATTATAGTTGCACTCCAGAAATAATCTAACGCGCATTCGTGCGTTATTCCTGAGACTTACAGTGACCTAGTAATGACGGCCATCAGTAGCCACAGCACGTTCTACTGTAATTTACTACGTAAATGTCTTATTAGTTAATTCACTTGCGTAATTATAGTGTACCTTCTTTTCAACATCACCGTTACTGAAATTAATTAGACATAAATTAGTAATTGTAGATATTGTTTTATCTTCAGCCGTGACATAATTACAATGCGACCTGTAAAGGTATATGCGTTGCATATAATCCATTGGAAAATAAATCACCAAAATTTATATTTATAACATCAGATAGTATATAGATAAAAATGTCGTCAAATTAAGAACTCGGTCTTCCATGGAAATATATTTCCCAATTACTTTTCATTTTTATCACACTTGCACTAAAGGCTCTTGAATTCTGCTTTGTACAAAATAAACATAATATACTAATCACATATAAATGACCTACATTATCTTTCTCAATTATACTTAGACCGTAAAGAAAGTGAGTTTAAAATCTGAACTGTACCAAAAACTTCTTATTTCTGCATGATTCTTTAGTGGTGGAAACACTGACGTCAATCTAAAGTAATCCCAAAGAAAGCAGTAGGTTTTCTTCTTCCTTCCACATAGAAACTACATCTTATAATGCTCCAAGAGCTTTTCTAAACTGAACTTTTATACATATTTAAAATTATGTAACTTGACAATGGATCGGATCCTAAAATGGACACTGGACTTAGTGTTAATCGCGTTCATAAATCTCCATAACCCAGAACCACGAACTAAATTTTCAAGCGTTTTCAGTGATTCATATACATTATTCATACGAATTATTGACTTTTACTAGAAATGTTTAAAACTATTGAATTAACGAAGAGGAATTGAAGAATTTCCATTGCCATTCGAAAGGTTTGCTTACCACACTAATTAGTATGTATTTTATTATCATACCTAAATAATTTATATTATGAGTTATCCGTTACGTGGAATTAGTTTCTTTTATTTTGACTTCTTTCATTAGAATGCAGTTGCTGTAAGACAATTTCATCAAATTTATTATCATTTCCTCATCATTTTTCTTACTAAATTTATAGAAATAGATGTGTATGTGTGTGTATGTACTTTAATTGAAACGTATTTAATTTACAGTTTAAAGAAAACTGTACATATTATGTTAAATGTATTAACATAATATGTACAGTTTTTTTACTATAGTGTAGTTAATAACGAAGTAAAAAAGTAAATTTTTATCGCGTGATATAGCGAAGTTTGATCTTTTTTTCTAATCTTGGTCTTGGAGAATCTTTATGAGCAATGAATATCTGTTTGCTATCATCTATAATGTAAAATCAAACCTTCATAAAATCAACTTATTATATTAAGAAAATAAACCAATTTCAAATATTTGTTCGGGACCCTCAGTATTTAAGTGTAAATAGCAGTTTGCCGGTTCCTTTTATCAAAACAAACTACACTTCTCCTTAAACATGCAATAACCAGCGCCATTATTGTCTACTACAGTAATTTTTCTTACGACACAAGCAGGAAGCGAGGGACATAAATTTTTCCTCTTGCTACACGTTATCCGTAAATACAAACTTTTTATCAAGTAAAGAATATTTGTCAGAGTAATTGATGGTGTCCAAAGTTATTTTAAGATATAAAAGCTGGAAGAGGGGTGTACGTAAAAGGGTGCATAAAAAAGCGAGCATATCAGTCGCTGTCAGCCGCAAACGCGTTGGTATTGTTGTTTATAATTACTTGTAACAGGCGGAAAATGTTATAAGTATAATACAGTAGTAGTATTACAGTAGTAATATGAGATATAATAAATAGTATATATTATTTTATTCGATCAGGTACTCAAAAAGAGATTAAATCATTAGACTTCAGTTTACGAATGACTTCCCAAAAACCTTTCTTATTGTACCCTATATACAAGTACCTAATCGATACGTAATAAGGAAGTTATCTTTGGTCACGCTGGTCATCCATTACTGCTTTAAGAACAATCCGGATGTACACATAATGTGTACAAAGCCAACAGATGCCTACGTTGTAGAATTGATCTGTCTCGAGTGTGGAGGCTTTGATACATGATGAGTGAGTTGAGACGTGAGTACGTGCGTAGAAAACAATTAACACAACTCCAAAGCTGGCTACAGGTACAAATGTGTAAACCACTTCAACATTTTATATTATTTTAATTCTTGTTTGCAGTTCGTCTTATTTGTCAATTATAGGATTCATATGAATTTCACTACAAGAATGTGCAGATGTCACGTTTCAGAAACCATTACTGTAATACTTATACATAATATACATAGAATGCAAAAGACTAAAATAAAAAATTATAAACAAAAACCTTAATATGATCATACTCGAATTTTAGATGATGCCAGAATTTAAAAAAATAGTGAATATCTAATATTATGTTTAATCTTTTATCTAAATAATTTGTAATAAATTGTCCAAAATATTACGAATATCAGATTCATGCCGGCGAATGCCGATACAAATCCACGTAAATTAATGTTGCTGTGTGTACGTTATGGATTTGAGATTTATCCACTAAATAATAGCATAAAACATAAATGGGGCATTATTCTTTTTAGGCATTTTCGCTTTTGTATTTTAGCAAGTCCACATAATAATTATCACTTACTGTACCTTTCTGCTCTCTTTTCCTTAGTCAGTCGGCAAATCAAACTAAAACAATAAACCAAAGTTTTTCAAATCTCGCTTGTGAACATGTACCTATATACATAAGAATATTTAACATTTCAGAAAAATAATGGAACAGTTAATTTATTAACAAGTATTTTGTATACAGTGGATGTCTTTAAGTAGACGACAAATAGCTAAAAGAATATTGTGAGCATCCTACTACTCAGCCGTGCATCTTATTAATTTTTCTCCTCCACTTGGTGGGAGTTAAAGGAACTCGAGTACTGATGTTTATTCATTTCCTTTGCCTCCTCATTACGAGTCGCTTAGTATACAAGGAAACTTCCACATTCCGATGTTGATTGCATTTATTGTTCGCAAAGGGGTTGCAAACTGGCAGAAAACCAATGAAGTTATTTAATTAGAGCTAAACACCACAATATTGTTAACATGAAATGCGCAAAAGTCTATTAAACATAAAGTTAAATGACACTTAGCACGTAATTGTAGTTGTTTCCTGCTGGACTTAATAATTAATAATAAATTCTTGGACGTAATGAATATAAAAAGTTTCATAAGTTTTTATTTTCTCTTTGCAAAATAGATTGCTTATCTTATGTCTGGGGATATACATATACATGTAATGTCTGTTTATTAATAGAAACTTAAAAAATAATAATACAATTGTTACATTTTTATTAAAATAGGTCATACTCCTAACAGGTGGCGGCTTTGTGGGCAGCCAACGTGTCCGCATTTATAGGCCCGCAAGAGACATGCGTCCACGAGGGTCGTATGGCAGCTGCCTTTAACTTGCCAATGATCAGCTACGTAAGTAATATTTTAGTATCAAATTTTACCTGCAAATTTGTCCATGTACTGTATATTGTAACAGCAATGAAAAGAACTCGGTATACTCGGTGGTCGGGTAATATCTGTGCTCTCTGCCTACGTTCAGTACTACGAGGTAACAAACAAACTGATTAGACAATATATAATAATATTTCAGAAGAAATGATATTTTGAGAAAATAATACTCCGAATAAAGGTCTTCAAGGTTTTTACTAGGATTATACTTGAAGAACTATTACTAAAATAAACACTTAGTGCAAGGTTATTTTCGTTCTGATTTATTTGAATCATGGAGAATGTCTAAAATAGTTAAAGAAAGAATAGTCTATTGCTTGCTACTTCAGAGGTCATCTTTACCCACTTATTTTTCTTATTGTCCAAAGTATGAACGAAAACGTATATTCCTAATATATTCATGTTCATGTCTCAACTCCCCATCAGGTGGTCTATTTACTTTTGGTATTACTGTGCAAATACTCGACAATATCAATACCAATAAGTGGAAGCGATCAAATCACTTACTGAAGAGTAAATATCATTTAATTATAATAGTTACGATTATTATTATTATTATAGTGAACTTATATAGCATTAATGTATTAATTCATTCAACCTACCCTACTTTTAACTGATTTGTATCAAAATATTGCAAGTTATTTATACTAACTATATACTAAAGTAATTGAATCAATATTTTTATTCTACAATCCATATTCATAAATTCAAATAAGCAAAGTCGCCTTCGTTATAAGAAAAGCTTTGCGCTCCGCTAACTAATTTCTCGTTATCTTTAGAATTTCCAACTTTTTATAAGTAATTGCATTTTCATTAATTTTTACACTTAATTTTTATTTCATATATATTTTCAATTTAATAGGCACTATTAATAAATTTTAAGTTATAATTGCTTTTCTACTGACTTACTTGAAACGGAAAGTTTTCGTATACCTAATTTTATGCAAGATCAAGTGGAGATAATGTATCATAAGGCACGTAGGTCGATTCGAGAAACTTTCAGTAGAACCGATTATAATAAACTATCTGTTACCCGTGAGTTTGCGTATCTGCAAGAAAATTCAATAATTAGTTTATTAAAAAGTAAATAATTAGTTTATTAGCATACAACGTTATAATTTTATTTTCTCATTGCTTTCTTGATTTAATTGATTGATTTTAGAAATATGAAAGCGTAGCGGTTTTTGTATTAATTGCCGCATGCATTCTTATGTAAAATGTGAATACTATAACTATCAGATGGCAATTGTGAGTAGCTTTGACGTGGTCTAGTGTTTTGAGTAGTCATGCTCACTAAAACGTCCAGACTTGTGGCGGCGTGGTGGGCCGGGTCATTGGGCTCCCTAAAATATGGTCGAGCGCAGTGATGGCTGGCTCATCCGTCATACTCGTGAACGGGTGCTGCTTGTAGGGACTGGTCTGCTCTAATCACTATGACTGATTTCATCTTATTAATTGTTTAACCAGTTGGTTATGTATTCAATATTTTTTCTTTTTGAGTATTTAATTGAATTAGTGCTAATTGGTGGTTTGTATTCACACATTTAAACTTAAAAATGTAAAGTAATAATAATAAAATTATTTAAAAGAGCAACACGCAAGTTTCTTGCTCGTTCTTCTTGAGCTTTCCGAACGAGCGGTAGATTAAAAAAAATGTAATGACTATTCAAAAGTGCTTCAATGTAAGTTTATTTGAATAAATGATTTTCTATTCTTATTCTATTCTATTCACCCCTTTCTAGTTTATGTTTTGACATAATTTTGATATTCGAGTACGAACATAGGTTTTTCACCTATTTTCGTCCTCAAATCAAATTTCACTATATATAGATTCGTTTAGCAACAAATAGACACTATTGTTACTAAATGAATATACAAGAGATTATTACACTTTTTTTAATAATGTACTTAATTCTAACTAATGTATAAAATTTAATATATTGTCTTTATTCTATATTTAAATTTTGTCCCACAGTATTGCCGAGACGTGGCCAGTTCAAACAAACGGGTGTACGCGACGTTCGCGCGGACCCGTCCCTCGGACATCGACATCTCGCGGTCGGTCCTCGCCGTGCTCACGCATTTCAATTTCAAGCATGTAAACTGATTTATCTCTAATATTCCTAACTGTTAATTTATTTGCATAATCTTCACGTCCTATTTATTTTTTTATTTTGTCAACGGTACAAATGAAAGATGAAGAAAAAAGGTTTAATTTTTCTATAATCCGATGTAGAACAGAAACGCATGTAAATACAGGGCTAGGCTAGGCTAGGCTCCGAATATGATTTTGTCCCATTCGGCATCGAGACCCTTGATCCGTGGGGTCCTGGCGCTATAAGACTTTTCAAAGAAATAACGAAAAGGTTAGTCGACATCACAGAAGACCGAAGAGCTGGCACTTTGGGCAAAGAATTAGTCTAGCTATTCAAAGAGGGAACGCTGCCGGTATCTTCGGAACTTTGCCTAAAGGGACCCCTTTTAATAATATATTTTAGTTATTGTATTACATTTTTTAGGCTTTTTAATTTTAGGTTGTAGTTGTACAATTAAGTTATGTAAATGATATAATTAGTGAACAAAAATGCAGTTATATTTTTTAAATAAAACTTTTAAATTCGGAACACAACAAAGGCACTGTTCTAACCGGTTAGTTAGTTGACTACCGGTGGATATTTTATGTTATTAAAATGAAATAATGTTCTATACATTATTAGCTAACTTTCAACTTGAAATTATTAATTTCTTGTAGTTTGCATATTATTTACTTACTGTGGTATGTTTATCTAATTCAAGTTTAAATGGATATTAATAATGCCCTGTCTCTCACAAATAATTAAGGCAAAGCACTTAACGTGTCAAGATTTATGCTTCAACTATACATTGCTTTATGTTTCAACTAGTACATTTATTTAATAGACTAGAATATAATAGAAATAATACACTAGATACATTTAATAAATTTTAAAGAAAAAATATTAAGTGCTTATGATTAAAGCATGTAGGTATATGAAGATATATCTAATGGACTCTTAATTCTGGTTATGATCATTACATCAATAAAATTTCGGTTGATTACTGGATCGTACTCTACTAAACCGCATATAAATTAAAGTGTGGAGTACATGAGAAGTAGGAACCTTGAAAAGCATTTCGTCAAACATATAAATATCACTCTTATTTTAAATGTACCACAAAAACTCTTTTAACGATAACATTTAAGTGCTTTAGTTTTAATCAAAAGAGGAGTGGTGATGTAGGTACCAATCAGAAATTTCCTGTTGATTTGAGCGCTATAACTATGAACCTCAACTTCATCTGCTTTTTTTTAGATAAAAGATATATTATATATGTCCTCACATCAAATAAATCATCACATCAAATTTCATGAACTTCGAACGGATCCCGTCCTGAATAGGTAACAAATGCAATACGCAGACGCACTTTCGCATTTTAATATAGGTCTAGGATTCTACTATGTTCCTTAGGAAAACTTGTTCAGTTTGTAACAATAATTTTCAATAGTTTTATGCATACTGAGCGTTGGTTTTGTATCGGTATAAGTTAGACCGTACATCAAGTACAAATAACCCAGTAGGTATAATGTTCTTTACAGATAGCAGTAGTCTACCTCAAAGCACCAAATCATGACTTCTCTCGATTGGCCCTTGCTATTATGTCGGCGGCAACTGAGAAACAAATATCAGTACGGAAAGTACAAGTGTACAGGCAACCATATTATAACGAGAATAGAAGAGAAAACTTCAGTCGTAATCCCTTCCTGGACATTGTTAGAGAGACTTATAAGGACACTAGAAGTAAGTACTGGGTTATAGTAATGCAGAAGTAATTGTTATTAAAGTAGTCTCTGTATTACACTTTATTTTTGTAAGTTACGTGATATTTTTACTAATGTTAATACCGAAAAAAAGATCAGGCGACGTTGTGGAAGCTACGATGGCATATCTCTATGAATTGATTAAGAGTGTAATGATATGAGTATATATGCATAAGTATCATATTCCTGATTGTAAATTTAGACAAAACTAAATTATATGTCTTACTACAGTTACTAAAATATATAATCTCTGACCATAACTTTCAGCCGTTTGCAACTGAAAACGGTGGCTGGTTTATGATTAACAGGCATATACTTATTCTGTACGTTAATACGAGTAATATATAAATTATGTTATCTGTGGCAGTAATTAAAATGTCTTTGTTTAGGACTATATGCATAGGTATAGAATTATTTTATAAAAGTATTGAGAATAATAATTAATTATGTATTGTTTGGTATAATTATATAAGTATCTCTTATCTGTGGTATCCTGTAACTAAAGTTTTTTTTAGTTTATGTATGCGTGGGATATTATCACGACCACATCGGGTTAATGTTGGCCTTGGATGCTATGCAGCTGTTAGATTCAGGTATGTGTACAATATAAATAATACATACATTTAACATCAATTATTTTGTAATGAAAACCTTCCACGACATCATGTGAATAATGTTATATTAATTTACTCTAGTTTTGATGCGCAAATCAAAATATCCAATATGTATTGTTATATCAATATATTTTAGTTTGCTACTTCTTATGCAAATAGTAGTGAAAATATATAGTAATAGTTACACTCAGTACACTCAAATTCGAGGAATTGGGTTCGAATTAAAATATTGTTTTAATTGTAGAACAGGCACATATAAGTAAGAAATTACCATTAAAATAATAAGAATATAAATAACAAATTACAAGTAATAAGTCCAAAAATATCTGATACTCCTATCAAACCCCCACCTTTCTACCTATATCTCTTTGTTAGACAAAATTTTCTACACCGTTCTGCGCTGTCCAATGAAGATTCCACGAAGTAACGTTAACACACATACATACATACACGCCTAAACAAACATTCTGTACTTAAAGGTTCAGAATGGCTATATGATGGCGAACATATAATTCAGATTATGTGAACATAACGATTGTAAAATGTAATGCGATGACATGATAGCATTAATGCGATAATAACAGAAAACGTATGCCAATAAAACATTTAGTCAGTACGTAAAAATTGCAGTGTGCGAATAATGCCTTCGAGCTTCTTCAATCTAGATTCCCATCGAATTAACTTTTTGGAACACTCGTGCTCGTATTCCGACCTCGTGAATAAAACATTATCCAATATCGAGAAGGAACAAAGCATGTATTTTTATCCTTGGATAAATCAGAAGGTTATTTTACACAGAAAAGTGTTTTTGTTAATCTGATCCCTTTTGGTACCCGTACATTATTCTGGGTCGTTACTTATTATTTTATGATCATATTGAACTGTATTGTAAAGGTCATTTTTATTTCAAATTTCAACTTATTTTATTGTATCAAACTTAACTTTGTCGCTAAAATAAGCATAGGTACCAAGTACTTATTTATTCTTTTATATTCGTACTACAAAACCATGGTCATATATTTTTCAGATACTGAATCTTTGAATGGGGTTCGGTTCCTGAATAATTCCTATAACCCAAGAGTCATAAATAAAATCTATCTACGTCCTTTTAATGTCTCTCTATATCCTTTTATTGATAAATTATCTAATTTCTATCATAATATGATTAGAATGGAAACCGTTTCACAAGTTTAAGAAAAAAAGCTTTATATTTTAAGTCAATATTAAACGACTGTTCTTTAATTTTATATTATAATATAATCATCGTCTTCATTTGTCTCAAATAATGAAATGTTACAAATGCTGCGTATAATAAAATTAAAAGTTATTGAACAAGACAAAACGGTATACTACTCAGAGGGCGAGACCAACATCGCTTCTATTATAGCCTTTATCGGTAAATTATTAACGATTTATGGTTTGTATTAATTTGTATATTTATGTATCTAATATCGTTATTGTGTGTACTTTGCTGTTACCATAATTACCTCTCACATGAGTGAAGCGAAACGCCATCGATCACGTGACAAGCAAATACATCACGCCTCAACACTCAATGACGCATTCACTTGCTAATTTTCGAAGATTCAATAGTTGTATGTATATATAATAAATAATAAACACCTACTATTAGTAACTTGGTAGGTAATAATTTACTTAAATATTTTTAATAAAAGTGCTCTTATTTCTCAATGACTATAATAGGAACAAACTTAACTTTTAAGTAGTTTTGAGTCTTATTCGGAATGCCAATTCAGGTTAAAAGAGAGAAGCTGATAACAATCTCAATAGCATCAAAGTATATATAAGTATACATAGATGTCATCAATAGAAATTTGTTTTCGATACCCATGAATACAATCACTTAATTCTGCACCGCATGAAATACATAAAAATTACTAATAAGTGGCATATTATAGATATACAGATAGATGGCTGCTGTCTTTCCATTTTTATATCTTTTGAAAATAAATACAGCAACCTACTTAATACCATTTTATGTATTCTCTTTTCAATTACTCAGTCTAGATATACGTACACATTCCAAGCAACGACCCAATTACCGAGGAGTTTTGATCTCTCCGGATATGTATGAGTTTTCCAGAAATATTTGTGTTATTTACATTATATTATATAGTTTATTATCTGTTACTGTGTCACTCACCAATAAAAAGAAGATTTAATTGTAGTAGCAGCTTTATTAAAAAATCAAGTAGTTTAGGAATTGTAAAGATTTTTCGTATTAAATTTGACATTGTACATTAATTGTACACTCTCTTTTAAAATGTACATAGCTAAAACGTTTTACCTAATGTACATTTTAGAAGATTTTGTTGTAGATATCTTTTGAGGTATTTTCTAATAAATATAAAAAAAATAAAGAAGGAAAACACTCTAATAATAAACATAGGTACTTAGAAGATTTTTTATAAATGATTGTGTCGTGGTTTATATAAAGTATTACATACCTACATTGTGCATTTTTAATAGACCTTTCCACTCAAACTTACTTTAGTCGTTAATTGAATTCGCAGTAGTACCTATCTAATAGTAGAAAACATCAGAGACATAAAAATAACATGCCATATTTAGAAAATACTGCTATTAGAAATCGGTTGAAAAGAATTTTCTTCAAAGAAATATAGAATACCCCACAATGATTAATTGAACATGCTTGATCGGTTGGGAAAATTTCTCGGATAATCACAATACAACCGCTCCATCCAAATATATTACGTCTAAAGGGCTAAAAGTAGGTATTAACACTAAGATAAGAAAATGTTTATTTGTCTACATCTTTAAGGTGTATATATGACGCCAGACAGACTAATTTATCTAACGGTTATTAACGTTTTATCTATTATATAAGCTAGTAATCTGAGTTTTATTAAATAGGTACTAGCTGACCCGCGCAAATTCGCATGCATCACACTTACTTGATATTTATCATTACATGTCTCCCAATTAGCATAATAGCTCTTTAAATTATAGCATATGTATATTATTCTATTGTATAAGCTATATTTACTGTAAAGGTTCAACGAAATCCGTTCACTAGTTTTTGCGTGGAAGAGTACCAAACATTCATCCATCCAGAATCACAAACTTACGCGTTTATAATATTAGTAAGACTATATATTTTACATATCTAAGTTGTTTTAGAGAATAAGTCTCAAATACAACTGAGATATATAGCATAATAAGTTTTCATATAAATTACTGTCTCTCTAAATACACTACATATATGTATATTTAAGGCTACTATTCTAAAAATGATTATAGTAAGTATTATAGCAATTAGGATATCCACAGGGGAATATGCAGCAATCGGCGTGGACGTAGAGAAATATGAATCTGAAGAAGCAGTCCGGTACTTAGCTGGTCCTCTCCGTAAAACACCTTCACTGAGAGCTATCAGAGCATTTCGCTCATATCTGGCAGTGGCCCCATCCCCTTCTCCTTCTTACCCAGCATTTGCCATAGAAGTAAACAAAAGATTGCAAATGCCACCATTTAATTTTACGAATCCATTACTTGTGTTTGGGGCTGGGAAAGTGGTAAGTAAAGTACATACGTAATATACAAACACACATGTCAGAAAAATAATTTAATTAAAACAACTGGATTTTTATAATTAATGATGATGTACGTAGAAGTTTATACGATTCACTTATGTGGAGACTTCTTTGATATTCTGCCTTGATTCAGCAATAAATTCAGCCTTCAGAGTCGAATATCACCATTGATGCCACTCCTAGGCACTTTCTATGTATCTGGGTATTTTGTATGTATAATATACTTATATGTATTTACGAAATATATGTGTATATTTGTTTCATATTTGCATCAGTTATCTAGTACCTATAATACAAGCTTTAGCTAGCTTATCTTGGGTCTAGATGGCACTTTGTGAATTGTCTTGAAATATTATCCGGCGGATCCGGATGTTTATTTAGCTCAGACTTCGGGCAATCTTGTTAATCATTTATATTAATAATTCAGATTCCAGTAGAGGCAGCGTGGCTCCATGACGCTGTGTGGGTATATGCACGAGCGCTAGCCTCAGTTCTGAGCAAAGGTGAAGACCCACGCGACGGTCGGGCCATTGCTGCTCATATGAGGAACACCACTTATCACAGTGTTATGGGGTACCTATCACTTACTTATCGAATCTTTGTATCTCTTTATTCTTTTCACCGATTAAATTTGATTGAAAATAAAAGTCTTCAATAATAATAATACTCACAGAATATGATTATTAATACAATTTTCTGTAAGAAATACATTTTTCTGCCACGTAATCATACTAGATCTCGTATACTCCTAAAGGTTGTTTTTGGAAGCGGTGTATTCTATTTTCATCTATTGGCTTGTGTATGTAATTATAGAAAATTGTTTAGGTATTGGGTGCATATGGATGAATCTGGAGACGCAGAAGGAAACTACACTTTGCTGTCATTTGATCCAACAAAACCTCCTGGGCTCTATCCAGTTGCTGTACTGCACAAATCTGCTCCCGTGAGTTGGTCAAGATTCCATATTTACAAATTGCGATTTTTTAATTTACTTATCAAATTTATGAAATTTGAAACGTAATCTTAACCGTTGTTATTTAGAGATTTACCGAGGTAGACTTTGTAAAACAATGTCTGTTTGAGTATCTCTGCCTCACCTATTTCAGCTGCCAAGCAGCTTAATTTTTATTGAGGCATGATATCATAATCCGCCGGAATGGCAAGGCATGAGTAGTAGGTACAACGGACAGCACATAGTTACAAGATATCTTAGTGCTTTCTAACAATTGCCACATACTTACGTAAGCCAATGTTTTCAGTCTAAACAAAAAACAATCTGTTTACTCTTTTTAATTAAATAATTTAAAAATCTAGAATGCACTTTACATAACAGATTTATTCGTTTCGATTCACGTGTGCACTATTTGTTGGCGATTTTATAACATGACATGTAATTCTATTTACAAAATGCTTACGAAATGCAAATGTATATATGGAATTAAACAGGCGATACGCGTTTGCATAGCAAATCTGGACGTGGCCCGAATATATTGTGTCCCTATAACTGTAGCCAGAGAGTTTACGTCACAAGTTGGCGTGTGAGATATACTCATGTGCCAAATATCATATTGAATTTTAAAATTTCTTACGTTACTAGTTAGGATGATAAAATCCTGTAGGTATAGTATATATTGTAGGTTATAGATAAAAGACTAGCTGAGATATAATAGATGCAAATCCTTTAACCCCAGCATTTGAAACAATTTTCAATATAATTTTATCTCGATTATACTTGCGTAATTAATAAAAACTGGCACTTATTCTAATTATTAATAAAGGTAGGTATCATAAAAAATGCTAGTTTTTTCACATATAAATGCACAGAAATAATTTGCTTCCACACTGATTTTATCTTAGCTTTCGCTGTATACATATATAAGGATATACATACATATATTACATTGATTCAGAACAAGATACTTAACATGAGTAACTCAATTTATATGAGAACCAAGAGCACTGCGTGCTACAAAGGCTAAAACGACTCTTTTTGTTAACCTTCGTTATTTTTTCAGTAATTAACTTTACACAAAACTTCAAATATTTTTATAAAAATTTAAATGATGTATTAAAATATTTGTCTACCGTTCGTTTTTAAGTTACCTACAATATTTAATACATCTTAAAATGATTTCAATATTAAATTCATTTATATGTTTTCAATGTAATCACTACTAATATTATGTGATTATGTAGGAGGTGAGACTGTTACGGGAATTGAAATGGCCTGGTGGGCAGGTTCCCCTCTCTGAGCCACCGTGTGGCTTCCGGGGGGAAAAATGCGTCAGTAAGTAAAATATTTTAATTAAATTCCGCTTTGCATATACGACCGTGGCTTAACACTATAATTACTTTTTTAATGGCGCTGTGAAATTTTGTATACAGTTGTATATCTCTTGCAATTAGTGATGCACACATGAGCTGGATGAGTGGTATGAAGTGGTGAAATGTTTCTTTTAATACGTTATCGATTTCTTATTTAGAAAATGTATTGAATTTATTTATGCTTTTTATGTGAGTACAATTGTACAGATTACCATTTGTAGTTATTTATGTATTTAAAATTTAATAATATTTGATTTGTATTGTTAAACTATATATTTTACAACTATTTCATACACATTTTGTTTCACAAGTAAATACTGTCAATGCTAACAATTTTTAAAATGGTCTGACACATTTAATTTTACCGAATATAGAGTATAATATACGCTCACAGAAAATAAGTGGACCTAATTGATAAGCAGCTCGTTTTAGTTGAACAATTTTCAACGTAAATAAAATACTTTTCGATAAAATAAATTAAAATTAAAATCTTCATTTTATTATTTAAATAGATTTATTTTATTTCAAATCTATCTTAGATAATAGAAACGGCGAGTGTGTCGAAATGTTCCATTAAAGGCGGTCGATACAACGGACTGACACATTCTGTTTACTGGCGATCTAAAAAACTAATATGTTGTGTTAGTGCTCGAGGCGGCATTAAGCGCAAGGTTTGTACGCGACAGTAAGTGGGGTGGGTCGTAAAAGTGTCGTAACGGGACCGGCGACAAGCAATGCGCAGCAGCCAGCCATCGGCCGCACGCGACACCCGCTGCGTCCGCAGTCCGCACCCGCCGACATAACACGCTAATACCACTTACAGCACTACATAGCCTGCATTACACTACATATACCACTGAAGTGTATAGCCTGCATTACACTATGTATACAACTCAAGTGTAGCCTGCATTACACTACATATATCACTCAAGTGTGTTCACAATTTCAGTATAAATATAGATGCTGAAACTGAAACACTTCAAATAGATTTTTATGAAGAATTGACTTTGTATTAAAGTTTTTAAGCCCACCGTACACTAAAACTAAAAAAGTTTTAATGTTTCATACTGTTTAAACTTTAAAGCAGGTTCTATGGTTTTTACTTATTTTCTACATTAGGTACAATGTATTATATGTACTGCTTATTTCGATAATATCTTGTATTGTATACACGATATTATCGAAATAAGCAGTACCTTTTTTACCAGATAAACCACGTAATTACTATTTCCAATCCCCGAAGTACAAATTTCTGTTAAATTACTAGATTAAATAAAAAAATATTATTAAATTACGAGATTATAATTATATATATATTAAATTAATGAAAATGAAATAGAGCATCCGACTGGGCTAACGGCAGATTAGTTAGCCCGTTTTAATTGGCTAGGAATTAATTACTGTGGTTTCTGGAGGAACCGTGTGGAGGTCGTCCTAACTTAATGCGTTGCAAATAATGGAGCCACTAGTCCTCATTACTAACAATTATTACATTTATATGATCTACAATTACAATGACTCCGGTGCTATACAAGTAGCACTTGTGCATGTACGAGTGTATATCTATGTATAATAAAGAATAGTTGTCCATAATGCCAACACGAGAAAAGCTTTAGAATCATAAATTGCTCTACTATATAATAAATCTGAGTAGTAGGTACTACATACACATCGTTGCTTGAGTGAATTCTGTAGATAAAACTTATAAGTTTTACTGCCACTGAAAAATGGGGGTACAATTTATTACAAAATAACACTTATCGTGGAGGAGTAGAACCTTTTAAGGGGAGAATATAATCAATAACGTCATAGTCTCTATACACATAAATTTATATTTGTTTACAAGTATGATCAATTACCAGTTTAGTTTTTATTGCTTAATTTCTGGTACATAATTTATAAATTTAATAATATATAGGTACTTTAAAATATTCGTATTGACAAAAAAACTATTAGAATATTTGTGTTTGACAATTGAAGTTTTTTTTAAGAAATGAAAATGGAATGGTGCTGTCGCCTACGCTAACGTTATGTTACGTTGGCGGGGTTACAGTGGATGATGATAGGATGAGCAAGAGGTCAGGTCTGTTACTCAACGTGGCAAATTCACGAAGAATTTAACATGATGGTTTCCAGGAGGTACTGCTTGAGGGTCAATGTGACATGGTGCAAGCAATGGGGTTATTAATCCACATTACTAACAGTCCCCTTTTCCCTGATAATTACGTACTTGACGTTAAAAATCATTATATACTCTGATCATTCTATTATGCATATCAGATTATTAGGTAAAGCACAAAACTATTAAAGAGAACATACTACAAACAATTTATTGTAAGTACGTACTGTATACATGTACATAAAGATATAGCAAGTCAGTGATTTACTCGACTCACTATATAGGGGGATAGCACTCTTGTTATTCTATTACACTTTGAAAATGGTGGATTTCCCGAGTGTATGGCTTTGTTCCACGCCAGTTATTCCAATTTAATGCTTCGCCTTGTCTCTACCCACTTTATATCATTCGTCGTCGAGAATCCTTTTAACTATATAAAATTGAATACAAACGTTTAATGTCTTCGACACCAAACTCTACTATTGTCGAGTTAAAAAGTGCCGAACATTCTTTTGTAGAAAAGAGAAGTGAATATACATGACATGGACATTTATTAGTCTAACACGATCTTAGCATTTAAAGCGGTGCTATATCTACTGCCTAGCTTCATACTATTTACTTATATACATATCATCTTAGATTATCAAACCGAGAGCCGTGATAATTAGTAATAGCGAGGTGAAGAATTCTTGAAAAAAAAAAGAACTATATTCTTAGTTAGTTCCTGTAAATCGTTCTAGCTACTTCAGATGATGATCTTTTTATACTTAATTTCAAACCCCAGACTCCTTGGTTTACTTTGTAGAGACTATTAACTATTAACGACCTTCCTTGTCACAAAATCTAGTATATTAAAAGAAAGTGTTCTGTAAGGACGAATATTACAAAATATGAATTTTGATGTTATAAATTAACCCGGTGTAATTAAAACTATTGTAAGTATTTAAAAATGATATCATGTAATGTATGTATGTTGGACTCTATTTTCTATATTTTGCGGCGCTTTTGGGCCTTGCGATCGTGTATCTGTTTTGACTAACAACGTAACATATTATTAATATAGTGCCATATCTGTAAAATGTGATGCAATTGCAATACTACATACATACAATATTTAAAAATAAAAATAAATAACCTTTTTAATTTTATTTATCATTATTAAGTAAAAATAGTGAACAAATTATATCAGTATTTAACAAACATTTTACACTTTGACTAAAAGCATAAACATAAACATTAATAATTAGTTATCTACGTAGGTATATTAAGATTATATGTAGTTAATTATTATTTTAACGGTATTTGTATACCGTTTTACTAATGTATTGTAATCATTTTTAATAAGGTACTAAATCTGTTATGAACAACATTGTTATTATCGTGTCCTATTCGCAAAACGGTAGCAGGAATGTAGGTAACATTTTAAGATTTGATGATTCGATACATGGGATAAACCTATACTGTATTTATAAACATGCAATCTACGGCTTTTGAAGTATGAGTATATGAGAAATACCGTTACTCAAAGGAACGTAAACAACTCATAATCATGAAAAGATCAAGTGTTTTGCCCAGTGTTAGGTACTTTTCTATATGCCCAATTTAACGTTAGGTGCCTATTTCTGATGTACAGTTATTATCCCCAATACATTTCTGAACAAGCTGGTGTACTTAATAACTCCTTGTTTTGATACTTATTAATTATTAAAAATGGTCAGAACGACCTAGCAGTATGATCTGATAACTATTGAGGTCAATTCAGAATATTTCGCGTAACCGACTTATTATATCGTCACATTTTCGTTATCCTCACGTACAAGAGTACACGATTCCATCCTAATCGACGACTAAACTTCACCTTACCGTATCATCACAAATCTGCTTACAAGTCATTTAATTAACAACACATTCTCACATTATTTTGACCTCATATAGATAAAACAAATCCTGTAGAGCTTAGTAATTAGTAAACTGCATCTGTGGTAGAGCTTTGTGTAACTTTCCATTTTCTTATTAAATTCTCTCTACTTTAGCTGTGTAGAGGTAACGTTTAATTTTATAAGCTCTTCAACTGACTTTTAGAAGAAGCGATTGTATCTGTATTAGTGACATAGGTAGTACTCGACTGTCATTACCGATATTTTCGTTAAATCTGTAGTGATGAGTCTTTTTGCAGCGAAATAAAGTTATAACATCTCGAAACGAAGTCTAGTTACTATTAGTGGAATAGACTATACATAGTTATCTATTTCTCATATAATTTCTTATTAATATATTAAGTCATATAATTTATACACTAATAAATATTGCCGTACAGTAGTACTACCTGGAAAGAGTTGGAATATTATTATTTATTATTATTTTAAAAAGTAGTGTAGTTAGTTCTTTTAAAAATGTAAAAATAACAAACAGAGAAATATAGATAGTGAAGATTATTTTACACTCAGTATTTTTAGTCTAAAAATGAATTCTATAACCATAAAAATATAATGCTTCTGTTTATATTCGATGCCGGTATTACTTTTGTAATAACGATACCATAAAGCCATAGAAATCTATTGGTAATCTTCTGAGATTATCCATTACCGCACCCATAAATAAATTCATAAACTTATTTTGCCTTAAAATTTGTAAAAAATTTATAATAGACAATATCAAACCAAAATACAGATATTATGATCTATATTCGAATAAAATATATGGCCACGGATATTTTTCCACATAGGGTAGTCAGATATACATATTCTCAACTGTCGATATTAAGGTGACATTTGACATTGCATTTTGCTGAGTAAACTTGCAACTGCCGTCTCTCAGGCTTTTTTGTTTTATATCAGCGATTTCTTCATTGTAGCGTGAATGAAAAATAGAAATTGACTTAATCATTCTTTGATATCGAGTACATTCGATCTCACAACCTCTTGGTTCTAATTTAAGGTAGTAAACTAAGCCACGATATCTATATTTTTTTATATAGTTTAAATGTAATACATACGTATTGTATACCAAAAAATATAATTATATCTTCCCATACTTTATATGATATTATTGTGTCTCCATAAGGTCACATAGGTGCTTGGGCATTAGGAGCATCAGGCGCTACATTGGCACTTCTAGCTCTAGCAGCGTTGGCGCTGTACCGCGGCTGGCGATATGAACAAGAGCTAGACTCGCTTCTATGGAAGATAGACTTCCGGGACCTTCACTTGCCGGAAGATGAGCAACCTACCAACAAACTGAGTAGGTAAACTGACTTTGTAATTGATATTATTAGTTAAATAAGATCACGTTTATGTAGAAACTATATTTGGTAACAGTCATATTTTCTAAAGGTACAATTAGACTAAAGTTTTTATAAGTTATTCAAACTTTTAGAAGTATTTAAGAATGTTGTTGGGGACTTAAAGAATACTGATTAATCGCTTAGTTATTACTTAACACATTAGCTGTATTAAACATTAATATTGCATTCATGATACTCATCTTAGCCATTAAAATATAGATAAGTTATTACAGTGAACTTAACTACTAAGAATTGAATTACAAGTACGAAGACGACTTAAAATAGATGTAGGTACAATAATAATAATAATAATTCTTTTATTCCAATAAAAGAATTATTATTATTAGTTCCAACTAAAAATATATAATATTTTACAAAGTAGGGTAGTGTAACGATAACAGCCACAAATAGTAAGTAGATATACTTACTATTTACTTTTATCATTAGATGCACTTTTTTATGACGAGTTACTGAAGAATGAATATACCCTTTCAAATCTTTTTCCTTTTCCCTACTGTTATGTTAGTAAAAAAATAGTTTTTCTAGATTAATTACAATAAATTAACAGAATGTAAAACTGTTCCAAAACAGTATTACATACCCAAATATGCAACTAAGAGATGGGTGTACAAAGTATTACTAGTACATTTTACATGCATTTTAGTACTATCTGAAAAAATGTTTCTATTTACCATGTCATATTTTTATGAAACAAATTGGTCAGAAATGATTTCTTCCAGCAAGATAGCAGTACAGGCGCCAATATGAATACTTCAAGTAATGCCGTGGGATCGTCGGAGAAGAATGCCGCAGGTGGGAGTACAGGAGGAGTCCGCTCCAGTCAAGTGTCACTCAGCTCCAACCCGGACCTGGATTTCAGATATTCCGCCATCTTTACGGAAGTGGCTTTTTACCGTGGACGATTACTCGCCGTGAAACGCGTCCGAAGACATCACATCGATATCAACAGGGAAATAAAAAAGGAGCTTAAAATTGTGAGTAATGTAATATATTTTCATAATTTCATTCATTGTGTACTGTTCATAAGCAATAGGATTATCTACTATACCTAAACTTCGTAACTTAGTAAGAGACTCTATTCATCTATAGTATGCCTAATGCTGAAATTGTGGTCATTGTCCAATACACAGTGTATTGTAGAATGACCACAAATTCAATTTGCTGGCCCGGCTGGTCGGCTGGTCGCAATTCTCTTTTTTTAAATGTAAGATAGTACCGACTATAGTTATTTTTAATTAATGTATCACGATATGAAGCTCGTCATCCAATTCATGTTAAGAAAAAATAATCGATTATATTTTTATGAAATAAAGTCTAAAATTACCCACACAAACTAGTTAATAAATTTAAAACATAATACATATATGTCATAACATAACACAGGATATAAAATATCCCCATGTATGAATATAGATACGTATTTGATAGAATAGTAGATTTTGTAACATTTACTTGCAAAGTTTGCAATAAAGGGGACATGGCACGATACCCATCGTTCCATAGTTCAATTTATCAAGTGATATTAGGGATCGTTGAACGATGTTCTGTAGTTGGCAGTGTAACGTGAGAAAAGAATATCGTATTCTACAATATGAAACGTTCTTATGCAAATACGATTTGCTGTAAAATGTACAATAGATTTATTGTAACATAATATGTACATGTAGTAAATCTTTATAAACTCTGTCAAAATGATAACTTTGATTATTACCATAGTTTTCTGAGTTGCCTAGGTTGCCCGTTGAGTATGTTCTATTTACCATTAGATCCAGGTACTATATTAAAAATGTGTAGTAAACTATATAATATATATTTATCATTTATCTCCGCTAGTTCCTTCGTCATAAGCGAGGTTCTGGAATATTTGTTGACTATTTGCTATATATATGTGTATTTCAATAATAAGCTATATGTTTTTTTAGAATTAATAATCTAAATAATATTTTTTCTAAATCTACAGCTACGAATTATGCTTTTTGAATTGATTTATCTACTACAAATATTCGTATATACACAAAAAATAAAATTACCATAGTATATACATAAATAGAAGAAAGTACATAACAAATAAATATATTAATATTATGAGTACACCTATAGGATCTATACGAATTATATCTCATATACTACCACCGTAGCAAATAGTCAACAAATATTTCAGAACTTCGCTTATGACGAAGGAACTAGCGGAGATAAATGCCTCCCATTCATTCAGCTTTACTATGCCGCAGGTAAAAATAAAAACAAATAACAAGATTACATTGCTCTTTTTATCCCTAACTCAGCTCTACACAATCCACACAATCAGCAAAAAACACAAGTTAATTTTGTGATTCCGAGCGTCTTTCAAAGATTACTTTGAGAGCTGTCTTTAGATTTCTGATTACATATATTTAGGTTATTTAGTTATGTACGGACGGACCGGATTGAATACAAAATAGCTTTATCTATTCGTCCGTACAAGGAGAACTGTAAATTTGATAATTGACGATGTTTTTATTGTTATTCATTGGAGACGCACTACTGTTCTACTTATTTGCAATATTTTTTTTTTATTAATTTGAGACAGTCGTGGTGGATGAGAACTGGTCGAAAAAAATAAAAGAAATAACGTGATTAGGTCGAAACCAAAAAGTAACAGAAACTGTTTGTTAATTTATATTTATGACTGACTGACTGGTAGAGGAAACACGTTTAGCTCACTCCTTGCCAGATTAGATTAATGTATAAGGTGTACATGAATCTAACGTGGCAAGGAGCAGCAAAATGTGTACTTATCATAATGTTTCTAACTACCCTACATCTAGAATAGTTATTATTTTATTTATGAGGGTATGTTTATTTTAGTTTCTTTTTATTTCATTCATACTTATACTTTATTATTTGATGAATGATATTTGTACAGTAAAATAAAGATTGAAATTCAAGTAAATATATTATCTACAATTAAACATTACTTACTCAAAATCTATTGAAATCCGAAGTAAAACATTTTTTCAATAAAATAATGTTAAATATTTTAAAGAAGAATAAAATTTTATATATTCTCAAGTATACTTTAAACGTTATTGAAGCTAACCTTAATGACATTAAATAAGTTGCGTATAAACTTTCAATATGTGGTACCAATTACCGGATGGGAAAAACACAGTGAAGCTAGGATAGGAGATATTGTTACCGACTGCAAAAACATCGTTAATTTGTTCAGCTGCAGAAGAACATACACCTACGCGAGTTCGAACAAAGCAAGCAACTCTATACCCCTTTCTTTAGACGAGAAAATTACTTTCTCTAAAACCATTTAAGTTGTAGGTATCTACAGATAATACATAGCGGCTATCTATTATTTAGTTATCTGTACAAATAGCTAAACAATTGCAAGCTATTAGTTTCATAAAATGTCATTGCTTATAGGTATAAACATTTAAATTGTTGGTATATAGGTACATACTGTTGATAGAATTTCGGTATTTATTAAATATAAATTTATATATTTAAATTTAATAAATACCGTAAATTAAATTAAATTTGGAACTCCTTTCGCCGTGTATTGTCAAGGCACTTCATTAATCATCAATTCAAAAGCTTACTTAACTTTATTATAATTTTGACGGACTCTTTGAAGATGAAAGATTGTCTATTAAAACAAACACGATTCCCACGATCTCGCTTCATGGTGAAATTTCTATTTCATTTAATCGAGTCCCTAATAATATAGTCGGGGTACAAAGGGACAAAGTCCGTGATATGTCATTTACTTTGCCTTTGCATAGGTACTCGTACGTATACTACGGAGTGATATTTTCATACAGAATGTTCTTATGTTTCTTTTACATGGGTATATATACTACCTGTGCCCGCGGTTTCACCCGCATGAAATTTATAGCCTTTATATTATTCTGATGTATAAGCTATATTCCTGTAAACTTTCATCAAAATCCGTTCAGTAGTTTTTGCGTGAAAGACACACACATTTGTTTTAATATTAATAACATACATAATAAATTATCGATAATCGTTAATGAAGTTCACGGAGTAGTGTTGTGAATTCCATAGTCTGTTAAAAGTCTGTATTTTATAGTTTAATAATAGCCTGTCCCAACATCATCCCAGTGTTCATACGTTTGTGAATTTTGTATTTTTGTAACACAATGTATACCGTACATCACTTTAATAATGCATCTTTATGATAGAGAAATTTCTTAAATCGGTGCAACGCGCTCATAACAAAGGGCGCTCTCTCGCTTTATACGTTCTATAGTATACGTTCATAATTGCTCTACTTACGTTAGGTGACCTAATTTCGCTATAATTTTATGTCATATTTCACAGATGAGAGATCTACAACATGACAATGTGAACGGCTTTGTGGGCGCGTGCATTGAACCACCCAACGTATGCGCTCTCTCCGAATACTGTACTAGGGGCAGTCTTAAGGTAATATTTTAACCCCTTTACTTATAAATAGCAACCAGCGTTGGCTTTGACATAATTACTAGAGGGATTTTTCATATTTATGAAAATACAACAATATTATTTATTGAAAATGTACCTTTCTATAATTAAACTTTATTTTATAAATCATATAAGTGTATTTTAAAATAGTTTAACGATTACAAAAATGTTTATTATTTCTTTAAGAATATTTTAGTTTATAAAACACACGACTATTATGTACTAGTTTATCTATTAAATTATTGTTTGAATTTAAAATAAATACGAATATAATATTTACATCTGGGTTTGTTGGAGGTTTTATTATAATTATGCATAAGGGGAGAGGCAGCTTCAAATTTCACAAACGGCGATGCATGCGATGGAAAATGATATTATTTTCTAAGTATCGATTGTGAACATGAACATCATGAATATTTTCCGGTACATAAAATCTCTATAGACACAAAGAGAATGATGTAGCACCGCCTACTGTGTAGTCGTAGCAGTTGATTTATAAGCAGGCTAGCGACCCGCCCTTACTTCGCACGGGTGTTTCAGTATATTGTCATAAGTGTATGAGACAGAGATGATATATCTACTATTTAGAGATCTAATACATGCATTTTCATGTAATAGTAGTAATTTCTTCCGGAAATTATATGTACCTATGGGTATACATAGAATTTCCTGAAGAAATTCTCTAAATAGTGTCTAGTGTGTAGTCGCCAAATAATTATTTTTAGACTTTATCCTTTCGAAGTTTTAATAAGGATTATGATGATGATATCCAAATATGGATAGTCTCCAAAAACTAAAACATAAAGGGTATCAATATCTTTTACGTAGTTTAGAATAAGTAGGTATATAATGGGCCCTTATTAACCATATTCTCTGTTTTGGATAATTTGTGTATCTTAATAAACTGAAGATAATATACAATTATATAGCGAGCGTGGTACATTTTTAACGAGTTATTGTGTGCTCACCATCTACTACAACTATCTTAAGTATGTGTGTCTACTCTACGTAGATATCGATGTCTAGATCGGATTACAGAAAGTACACAGTAGCATCATTAATTGCCTACTTATTTCATTGTGTAATACTATTATTAAAATGGACTGTCTATAACTTTGAATTTATAGGATAGGCAATATACGGAAATATTCATACGCTTTCAAATATTATTTCATCAACATTTATACATTAACCTTAGAGATACGCTTAATAACTAAATCATACGGGCGAATCCCCATGCATAGCCAGTATTTAGTATATTAAATAAGAATGATGATGAATAGGCATACTTATAAATATGTTACATATATATAGAAAACAAAAATAATTAGTAACGTGTATCTTTCCAGGATATTCTGGAGAATGAAGATATCAAACTAGATAATATGTTTCTTGCCTCCCTCGTTGGTGACATTATCAGGGTAAGTTACTATGTACCTGCCTTGCCCTTACCTTACATTAAGCTTACCTGCTACCGCCTGACTAAGTCTGGCAGTACAGGGTCATAATGCAGGCACAGCCCGAAGAAGAAGAATGATCCACTAAAAAAATATCTTCCTGTTTAGTAGTCTTCAATCTTTTCATTCATTGTATCTCAGCTCTAGTAAAAGAGAATATTTCAATTTTGGACTAGTTACTGTCATTAGAATTAATGACACAGACGGTATGAATAGTGATAACAATTTTCATGCATAAGTGCCGAAAGAGTCCTATACAGGAGATATCATACTGTCATGTACATGTCCTTACATGAATATTATGAAAGATTTCAGCACGTATTATCGATTAACTGAAAGTATGTAGTGCCAATGTTCTAGGGTATGATATTCATCCACGAGTCACCACTTCAATTCCACGGGGCACTACGACCGTCCAACTGTCTAGTGGACGCGCGATGGGTGGTCAAACTAGCCGACTTCGGACTTAGAGAATTCAGGAGAGGAGAACTTCCACCCTCTGAACCCAATAGTTTGCGATCTCATATAGAAAGTAAGTTTCAGCTATAAACAAGTTTTGTTTAACGCTTATTTAAACAAATACAAAGAACTATTCAGTTCAAAGTTCAGAACTTGTTTGATATTCATAAACTACTAACATTGTTCTAATGTAACAACTTTATCTATAAAACTAACAAACATTTTAACACTATAGTGTTGTATATTTAAATTACTAGTAGATATATATTTAATATCCTTTGTTATTCGGCCCAGTCTTTCTTCATCAGGTTTTCTGATCCAATGATAGTGGATTGCGCAGTATAGCACCATTTTATATTCTTGCTTTATACACTAGCGATTTGATGTCATTTTATACGGTCACTGAATTAACTAAATACCATTATTATCTATATATTTGGTTAAGTTCTAATGGATTTTTTTATAAGATTTAGAGATTTTAAAAGAACAGACTAATTCTAAGTTACCTATCAGTATAGGCGGTATAATCGGTGTAATTAATTAAGCTATTAACTATTTTATATCCAGATTTAATGTACTTATCGCCGGAGCTGCTCCGCTCGGCGGGCTGGGGCAAAGATGTCTACCCAATGTCCGAAGAGCATCAGGACGGTTCTCCGGCTGCGGATGTGTACGCTTTTGCGCTGGTCCTGTATGAGCTGCATACGAGAAGGGGCCCATTTGGTCCGGACCCCCTACCCACACCCACGCTGTTAAGACGGATAGCTGTTCCCGACCAAGCACCTTACAGGTAGGTACGTGTCATCCTTTAGGTTGCATTACAAATTGTAAAATCATATTCATTATACATTACACTCATTTGAATAATATTAGGATTTCATATAGGTAACTCAAATATTGTATCCTGATTTAAATATTTATCTTTGAAGGGGTTGGTTTTAAAAGTAATGAGTATATTATAGATAAGGTTGGTATCTTTGTCAATTGTAAACCTATTTTCAAAATTATTTATTTGTTATGTAGGATATCTCTCGAACTGGACCCACTATCATCAAGTCCGGATCTGGTAATGTGATCTTAGGGTAATTAAGGAAAATACTCAAATATTGACAGTAGATATTGTTTGTATGCTTTATAATCAAGTTGTTCAAGCATTTACCTATGAGAAATATTACATATTAATTAAAAAAAATTTAACAATTGAAGTCGTTTTTTCGTAGTTTCAGCACGCATATCATTTATACGTATTCACAAATACCAATATCACAGGAAATAATAATTGGACACACACTAATATTTCAGGCCGACATTGGAGCCACTGTCGGGACGGTTTGATTGTGTGCGTGAATGTTGCAGTGATTGTTGGGCCGAGGATCCTAATACTCGGCCTGACTTTAAAGCCATTCGCACTAGGCTTCGACCTCTACGAAAAGGAATGTATGTATTAAGATCTTATTATTATATAAATAACAATACTTGGCTACTTCTATATCTACTAATTTTTAAGTTTTATACTTAAATATTAGTAACTTTTTGGTATTGCCAGAATGATATGCAAGGTTATATGCCATGACTAAAAGCAGTAGGTAATAGTATTTATCCATAAACTTTCCTCAAGAAGTAATATGGTTCTTATGGTGGAAATATTAAAGTCGGAAATACTCATACTTATGAATATGTATTTTTTTCAGGAAGGCTAATATATTTGACAATATGATAGCTATGATGGAAAAATACGCAAATAATCTGGAAGCACTTGTTGACGAACGGACAGACCAGTTGCAGGAGGAGAAAAAAAAGACTGGTGAGTTAGACAAACTAAATCCAATAATTAGTAAGGTCTCCGATTTAGAAATTATTTAAATTAATTATTATAATCTCACCTAACTCGTCCTAGACGACTAGACCGCTTTGGATAAAATTTTATGTGTGTATTCTAACTGGTTCCTGGATGATTTTAAACCACATTTGGACCCAATAGGTGACGTTGCTTCACCAGGTAGGATGACGTCTGCCGGGTCCACTAGTCCATATGTAAAATATTGTATCTATTAATAAATCGTTGCATAATGTATGTCAAATGTCAATTGACAATTATTAAATAAGATATCTAACTAGAATGTTCATTTCACGTTATCTTTAATAATTAGATTAAAGTATTTTTAGAGAAAAATATTTTAAGGAAAATAACAAGAATTGGTAAACATTAGTAAAAGTGTAATTCAAAAAGTACAGTGATGATGAACGTCATATTAATAAAAACCTACAACGCAACCATTGAGGTTACATATTCCAAAGTATACCCTCTTAAAATCCACTGGATGAATGTGTACGCCAATATTTGACATCTTTTACAGAGGCATTATTAGAAGAAATGTTGCCAGCACCAGTAGCAGAACAGCTTAAACGAGGGCGACGAGTGATGCCCGAGAGTTACGATTCCGTAACTATTTACTTCAGCGATATCGTAGGATTCACAGCCATGTCAGCGGAAAGCACTCCGCTTCAGGTTCGACTTACTATTTATTTTAAGTTATACATACAGCAATTTTTCCTAGAAGTATAACTCTTACATATATCTTAATGATATAGATATGCTCTACAGATCATTATAGGGATCTGTGCTTAATATAACATAAAAAAGTAGTACATATATTATTAAAGTAATAATATTTATGGACAATTCACACAGCGCCATCTAGTCTTAAGTTAAGCAGTGCTTGAGATATGGTATGGGGACTATTGATATAAATACATAGATCCCTTTTTTAATACATACATACTTTTTTTTACATACAAATATATAGAAAATACCCAGACTGACACAATTTGTCACACTGTTTGTGCCGCGCGAGAAATCGAACTCATGGACATTACATGGAAGTAAAGGGCTGTGCTAAAACGTTAGACCACCAAGGCCGTCGTTATATCATTCTGTTAGACATAATTTCCTGTTTAAAGTATTATATTATAATTTTATCTATATACTATACCTACTTTCATTGCAGGTTGTGGACTTTTTAAATGATCTATATACATGCTTTGATTCTATTCTGGAAAACTTTGATGTATATAAAGTGGAAACTATTGGCGACGCTTACATGGTCGTAAGTATACTTTCGATTTTAAATGTAGACATGCTCAGATACTCTGCCGGCTTCTTTAGTACCATTTAGCATTTCATTAGAATTTAAAAATACTGATAAATATTTATCTAGAATTTATATTTGACATTAATAATAAAGTACTGAGATTTTATTTCTATTTCATTATACTAGTATATTATTATTATATTTCATTATAATAGAAGGGTGTCGAGTCTGGATAAAAATATTACAAGCATAAGCACAGACTTAGTTTTGGCGAGCTGGCGACCCTAATAGTGCGACATGTGCAGGTGTCAGGATTGCCAATCCGCAACGGGATAGTGCACGCGGGCGAGGTGGCGTCCATGGCGCTGGCGCTGCTCGCCGCCACGCGCGCCTTCCGCGTCCGACACCGCCCCGACCAGCGCCTGCTGCTCCGCGTCGGCATACACTCCGGTAACAAACTCATAGATACGTCGAGAAAGGATTGTTAGTGAAATTTACACGAGTAATGCTGAAAATGACAACCACTCCACATACTTACCCATATATATATTTTTAAGAATGGTTATAGTATTGTTCGATGCATTCAATCCATCATGCGGTCAGGTCAGGTATAACGTGAGGTCAGATCAGTTAGACCATCGCGGCATCGTGGCGAATTCTCAGGACTTAATAACGAGGTTTTTCAGTAGAGATCTCCATGAGATTCTCCTGGACACCGCCTCATGCTAAAATATCAGGTAACAATAGAACGCTTAATCCCCAATCACTACTACACACAATTACTAACAAAAACTCGCGGTTTGTTAGTAGATAGGTACTCGGTCTCTTGGGCATAAAATAATGATTTGCCATTATTATTATTATCATTGCGATCATATGTCTTATAGTTTTCAAACTGTACATGTAATTAGTATTATTCGTTCTACCTAGGTCCAGTGTGCGCGGGAGTTGTAGGTCTGAAAATGCCAAGATACTGTCTTTTTGGGGATACTGTAAATACGGCCAGCCGCTTCGAATCTACTGGAGCACGTAAGTTTCAACTGTCTATATATAAATATAAGCATCTTGGAAATACTTATATTTCTTTCAATTTCAGCTTTAAAAATCCATTGTAGCGCGGCGTGTAAAACTTTACTTGATCAACTGGGAGGATATGTTCTTGAGGAGCGTGGTATAGTGTCAATGAAAGGGAAACGCGATCAGATCACATACTGGTTGCGAGGCGAGGAACCAGCTGCGGCGGCAGCACGAGCCGCGCGCCGCACTCAGAAGGAAGATGTACAACCCACGCCCACCGAGAGACGCGGCCAGCGCAGTTCACTCAAGAGTAAAAATTGGAAGAATCACGTTGGAGGATTACACAGGTCAATTAAAACATCTATTTCACATTTATTTACGACCTCATTGATCTAGCGGCTTGGCACACCGCTTTACTTCCGATGGTCGCGAGTTCTGTTCTAGCACAGAAGATTAAAGAGAGAAAAAGTTGCCATTTCGAAAAGCTGAGATGTTATGCCTCTTATATAACTACCGAACTTACTACCGAAACAGTCTACAAAGCAAGATGCTTGTCAACAGATTAGACAGAGGTATTTATGAATGAAAGAATGAATGTCTCTAAAGTTCACTGCCTTAAACCATCTTTGAGGGGGGCTAACTGACCCTGACCTCATACTCATCAAGTCATCATCCTTCATTGGTGCCCCGCCAGCAGCGTAAACCGTTAGCGCAGGCGGGTGCACCATTTCATTATCATCCATAAGAAAAAATCATCCGTAACAAAGAACAATTTTGCTTCAGATGCTGTAGTTTAGAATCTCCGAAGAAGTTACGATTCGCTTCAGGAAATCATCTAGAATCACACACAGACAGCGTATTACACCACAGAAGTGACGAATATCTTATGGAGGTAATCCTGACCATATTATATTAAATTGTAAATTTCGATGTTCAGTTAGCAGGTAAAATTCGAACATCATTAATAGACATGCTGAAGATGCCCTACGCAACACTGCCCTAAAACAAATAGAATAGAAAATCATTTATTCAAATAAACTTAATTTAAGCACTTTTGAATAGTCATAACAATTTTTTTTAATCTACTGCTCAATCGGAAAGCCGTGTCTCATCACAAGAAGAATGAGCAAACTTGTGTGTTGCTCTTTTATAAGTTCACATTTTACAAGTCGAAACGTGTGAATACAAACTACCAACCAGCACTAATTTATTAGGGTCAAATACACATACACAATAAGATAAAATCAGTTGTAGTGATAAGAGCAGACCAGTCCTTACAAGCAGCACTCGTTCACGAGTATAATGGATGTGCCAGCCATCACTGCGCTCGACCATATTTATTTGTACTATAACTTTATTTTATTATATTATCGTGTGGATGTCCAGCATTTTTGAGAATGTAAATATTACTATACATCAGTTCAGATAAATAAAATTGACAATAGGCGCAAACTCAACTAAGTTTGCACCTATTGCTCTATATAACTTTTGTGTAATTGTATCACTGTACTATTGTTTAAATAGTTTATTTATTTTCAGGTGGTCGGCGAGGGTCGTCTGACTCCGGCACAACGCGGAGACCTACTGGAGGCGCCCAGCTTGCGGCACGAATACACGAGCGTGTCTTGTCCCATTATAGAGCAAGCAGAGAGTTGCGTGCCGCGGTCGCCGCCCCCGCGGTACCCGTCACCCGCCGTTCCCGAGCATGACTCCGCGGACCTCCCCGAACCCGACGTCAAACTCGTCATCAACGGTTGCACCTATGATGAAAGCGATGGAGCGGGTATACCCCTTCTCGCTGACACGTGAACGGATTCCTGTACTTAATTAGCGACCCACACTAGTCAATGATTTAGTAGATCTGTAAATTATATATGTTTCAACTAGTTTACGCTCTCTATTTGATATTACTGCCACAATAATTATAGTGAGCGACTCTTCCTCTCGTGAAATTAAACGTCTGAACCACAGATATAGATAGAACTCGATAACAGAAGTAAATATTTTTTGGTACAATCTATAATATTATCAATAACGTTGTTCTTGTCATTCCTTTAAATACTTTAAACAAAATTAAACCTGAATAATCTGGCACTAAAGCGTCTTATATAGACAATAAATGACATACGGGTTTGATTGTATTTATATCCATGTCTGTGGTTTAATTCGTTTGGTATGGATTTAGCATTAATGTGATCTATGTCAGTATTATTAAGAGACCTATATTCAATAGAAATTATTTAATAACATTAAACTCTTATTTCACAATTCACGGTAACATCGTTTTACTTACACATATTATATTTACAACATCATTTCATATACACATAATCTAATATACATTTATATGGAGTTGGTCGATTAGGCCATAAAGCACAATTTTTAGAGCCTCTCGCATCGATAGTTCAATTTGATTAATTTGTGCCTAGCGACGCACTATAGACGTCACACCGATATTATACCAATGCGGTACAGTAGTTGCGGTCGTACCAGCGGCGGCGATCACACTGAGCCATCGCTAGCTAGATACGACGATCACACCGCAAACTCGCGGTCCGGCGGCGGCGGTCACACCGCAGACTCGCGGTCCAGCAGCGGCGGCGCGCGGCGCAGCGACGAGCTGCTGCTGCGAGTGCCGCCGCCGAAGAACCCGAGCAGCCACGAGCGGATCGTGAACCGCGAGTTCTTGCGCACGTCGGCCTTACCGTCGGCGACGTTCTCGAGCGAGCGCCACTTCTTGTAGAACTCTATATAGTTGGCGTCGTGCACCTTCCGCTTTGGGCGGTCGAGTTTGCCGTAGAGACCGCAGTCGTGCAGCAGCGGGCTGTCCTCGGTGCGGGAGTCGTCGGTGACGATGCCGATGATGGTGCCGTTGAAGATAGGGTCGCCGGAGACGGTGGAGACGGGCACGTCGGCGTCGAGCGAGCGCGTGGTGTGGTGGCGCGCGATGCGCGGCTCCCTGCGCGCCGCCAGCACGTCCAGCGACTGCGCGCCGCGCAGCGCGCCCGCGCGCTCCGACCCGCACCCCGAGCCCGCGCCGGAGCCCGAGCCCGAACCCGAACCCGAGCCCGAGCCCTCGCCCGCCGTCGACGACGCGATAGAGCTCAACGCGTTCCTGCATCACGAACATATTTTTGAGCTACTCGACGGTCACGACGTCAGTATTCACTTCCAAATTTCAAATATACATAAATAAGATCTCCTCTGATTAGTTGAACGCAAATGTAGCTGCAATTTCACTAGTTGTGAAAAGCATTGATTAGCTACCTGTGATTTAAAACTAAAAAACCTCATTAACGATTTCGAACAAGTTGCAATTAATAAAAGAAAGATGAACCTGGTACGTGACGCGTGGTCGGAGCGCGCGCGACGAGTGGTAAGGGCGTCGTCAACAGCGGAAGCGGGAGCGGAAGTAACAGCGGACGCAGACGCAGGCGCGGCGAGCGAGAGGCGAGATCCTCTCGCGCCCGACGAGCCGCTGGCCGACCTGGTGGCACTGGCTACCCGCTGCCGCATCACGCCACCGCCGACACTACCCCCGCCGGCGCCTCCTAACCGAACAGTGTGCTTTTTATTACTATTCATGAATGATGATGGAATGGTGCACCCGCCGGTTTACGCTAGTGGGTCACCAGAGAGGATGATAAGATAAACATGGAGTTTTGGCTAGCCAGCCCATTGTGACAAAATCTCAAGGAATTTATCATGGAACTGCGTGGGGGTCAACATTCTATCTTCATTCATTCTATCTTCAACATTCATCTAATTACACCAATAATGAGTGCGTAGCGATTTCTATGTTGATTATCGCATGCCTCTTACTTGTTATACTGTAATTATTTATATAAAAAAAACCATTTATTAAAAAGAGCAACACACAAGTTTCTTGCTCATTCTTCTTGTGATGAATCTGCATTCCGAATGAGTGGTAGAATCAAAATATGACTATTCAAAAGTGCTTGTAATGAGTTTATTTGAATAAAGATTATTTCTATTTCATTACTAACAATCCTCTTCCCCCCAACAATGTGCTTTTATCATCCGCAGTCCACATGTCAACTTGCGACCTATGCTATATACTATAAAAAAAAATGACCTTCAGGAAAAATTCCATCCCCACCTTAGTGAGCCGACAGTATTAAACAGCGAAAGATAACTGAAAAAAATTACTTCTAACAAATTTATGACATTAGAATGTAATCAATAGACCATAGACATATATCATAATCAATGCATAATCAGACATATACAATTGCTATTATAGATAGAACTATATATAAATAATATATAAATACTTACTTTTATCACAAGTATTATACATATAGACATCACTCAGATTAATACATCTATAGTAGTCAGAATACTTGTTATGTATTTAACTGCCAAAACCTTAACTATATACCAAACATAATGTAATATGTAAATGTTAACCTGAAACCGATGGATGTCGCGAATCTGCCAGTCTTGGACTCCTCCTTGGTCGACAGAACAGAGGTCGTTCCTCGCCTTCTACTGGCCTTTTCTGTATCGCTTTCTCTGTAGCGCTGACTAACCAATATGTTTGTAACTGAAAATGAAATTTATTTTTCATTACCACTCTTATTATGGATGAATGTAACAGACAATACAAAAATAAAACAGTGGGATTTAAAAATATACTTGAAATTGTATATGTAGTACATAAAAAAAATCACAAATACATCAAGACTAATAAGCTATTATCTTAAGTATTTGTGTAAATAGTACTTAAATAGTTCCATACTGATAAGTTGATAGATCACATTATTTAATTAGGACTAGGGTTAGTAATTCTATAGTTCATATTAAAAATTCAATTCAATTCGACTACTTTGTACTTTATATACTAAACAAAAAAATATTACTCAAAGAAAAGAAAGAAAATTAAAATACTTTAAATAAATCTTATTTACTTACTTGTCCCTTGCCCTTGATAGGTATACTGCCTCTCGGTTCGACGACATACCCACCGATCTTATCAAGCGCCTGCTTGCAGCTCGGTGATATGTGTATACGTAACGGTTCTCCGTTGGATTCCATTCGGGATGCTGTGTTCACAGTGTCCCCAAACAGACAATATCGAGGCATTGTCAGCCCTACTACTCCCGCTACAACAGCTCCTACAAAAAAATTACACCTGATATAAACTACAAGTTACTATATTCCATTATTGGGTATTCTCTTTTGAGATATCATTTAAACAATAAATTATACAATATTTTCATATTAGTAATAGGATATATTACAACTATACCATTTACAACTATAATTGCTATGCTACATACATGACAAATTTAATCATATACGGATATAATTAAATTTGGCATTTATTACAGAAATGCAATGCAACAAACGAAACAAATAAATACACTTTCATATCTATAATATTAGAACAGATTACATTAACAAAATTATTCCAGTTATATAAACACTTTTGACCAGTTCTATAATAGTAGTAATTCTAGTTATAAAAAAATAATTAAAAATTGAAAAAGAGTAAATTCTATTATAATTTTAAATTAGACAATATTATGTGTTTTCTTTTCACAACGGTCTTTCATTTGACACAAAACTTGCCCAAACCTCAGGTTTGTATATATTTGCAATATTTTTAACATATCTATAATAAATTATACTAATAGATCCGTAAATAAAGATAACATACCGGTGTGTATTCCTATCCTTAATTTGAGAGTTTCATTTGGTCTGTGTGATATTTTGTGAGTTTTTACAGCATTCAACAGCTCGAGCGCCATTGATGCAATCTCGCCAACGTGTCTATCGTTGTTTCTTATAGGCAGCCCCGATACCTAAACGGAACATAATTAAAAATTTAAAAAAAAATAGCTATATTTAATATACTTAGACAATTGTGTCCACACTGAACTACACGAATAAAATTAGAGAGAGAAACCTTTCTCTGAAGTGTCTATAAAAGTGAAAAAATGAAACAAGTGGAATGAATTAGGAAAATTACTTTTGACTGTTGTCTCTCTACTAAACTCTACAAATATGTTATTCTGATAAAAACAACTCTATTGTTCTCGAAATCATGTATAGTATATAATGCTTACCACCATGTAGGCATCACCGATCGTCTCAACTTTGTAAACATCATAGCCTCTGATAACCCTGTCGAAAACTGTATACAGGTCGTTGAGAAAGTTAACGACTTGCAGCGGCGTGCTCTCCGCAGACATGGCGGTGAAGCCCACGATGTCGCTAAAGTATATAGTCACCGAGTCGAAAGACTCCGGTTCCACGCCCTCGCCCGTCGTCAGCCGCCGGGCCACTGACCTGCAACAATTCGTAATGATTCCTCCATAGACTCGATATCGCCCTTCATCGATCTACGCATTTAATGTTGAGATATGTTAACAATATATTATAAAAAATACAAATGTCGTGTTAAGCTATGGAATGCATGCTTATATTTTCAGTTTATTTATTAATAATATGAAGGTAGGTATATTTTTAAATCATACAGTATACAGTGCAATAATAGGACACAAAAAATATTGAATTAAATAGTTCCGTAGAAATTAATTCCTCTCCGCCGACGGGCTCTCCTGATCAATTAAAAAACATAATTCAAATAGGAAACTCTCATTGCAGTGTATTAGTTTTACAGAAATTTTCTACAATATACATATCCTAACTACAGAAAAATGTATTAAAACAGCATGCTTATTCACTATTCGTAATCAATAAAATTACAAAGTGCAATAATAAATACAAATAAAAAAATATAATAAATAATCGGCCGATACAACTGTCGAATAGCATGAAGACGCAAAGGAGTCGGTTGCGATAAGCAAAAAACTGTGACTACGTTGATAGAATCGCCATCACCTTCCAGGACGCGAAACACCATAACCATCACAATATCCCAAGCAAGCTCTACTCTACTAGTAACCTGTTAAATGAAATAAGTTGGTTACTTATATCACATTGTCTTAACATAAGAAAAGGCAATGTGTACTCCTAAAATAATCGTGTAAGGCAAACCATATTAAACTACAATCACCAGTAGAGAGTTAATTACCTCAAGACATTTTCACGATATTTCTATAATGGATTCAACCTCCACATCTGTAAAAGAACACAAGTACAACAAAGTGAATACATTTACATTTTTAACAAGAGAATGTACCACTGTTTTACATCAAGTCCATGTCGATAATTTATAAGAGTCCGATAAACAAACAACAATGTATTGTTATAAATGATACATGTTTTATATATATATGTACAAATTTTCTATATTTAGAAAGATTTTCTTTAATATTCTTAATGTCCTGGACGCGAACTATACTTTGCCTAAATTAAAATTTCATGTAAGCAAGTGTACATTCCAATATCCGAATCCATAATAACAATTGACGTTGAGCAGGATCACGTGGAAACATAGAAAAAATTGGACTAAATGTAAAGCAGCGCACAATACAGCGTCGTCCAGGTAATCGATAGCTTGTTGTATTTGTGTCTTTCTCTATTGTGCTCACATTAACATTAATTCTACTAAGTACGGGTTACACACCTTATATTAGTGACGGAACAGGAAGACAGCTTACACATAATACTAACTTTAAAAACATTTAAGGATTGCTTACATATTGCATGCACATATCATTATATTCCTAAATTTTATGCTCAGCTCATAATAGACACGAATTTCAATAGCCTAAACAGTTTCAAATCTAAAGGGGAAAACAAACTTATTTAATAAAACGCATTAAGGTCGAACATAAACTTGATGTCGTGGACATAACTCTCTTTAAAATTCTTCTCTGGATGACTGAAATGTATCCATGTTGTACTGAATGAGACATGATCAATTAACCGTACTCACTTTGGCAGCATTCTGTGTAATAGGTCTTCTGTCTTCTGTTTTTCTTCTATCAACAGCCTCGTTCTCTCTGTGACTAGTTCTTCCAAATTGTTCGCATACTTCTCCATCATATCCATCATTTGATCCATTATATTACGTGACCTGAGAATTCATCAAATAATGTTTATCCTTTGGCAGGTAATAACCGAAACGAGTATCTGCTATGATAGCCGCGCAATCTGCACTGGTTTACTGTGCATAGGCTTCTTTGGATTCCATCGGACCTTAACTTAATAAAATTATAACAAAAACACAATGCTGTCACATAAGGAAATTAGAAGAAATAAAAAACTCAAATTTACTATTAATTTAAAAAGATGCTTAAGTAAATAGAATAAGCAAGCAACTTGATAAGTCGTAATTGTCATCTACATACATAAACAGAACAAGGACATTCATAATCATGTAACGTCCATGTCTCCACTCATATTTTCATATACTCCATCTTTTTCGATACTCACTTGCCAGTTTTCATTTTCTTCAGGCGGCTTCTTATTGTAGGAAAGTCAGGTCTGAGATTCGGATCTTCGGCCCAGCAGTCCTTCATAAGCCCGATCACATAATCATCACTCAATTCCTGAATGATACTAGTGTCAGGTCGAAACACTTCTTCACCGTCCAACTTTGGTCTTTTGACTCGCTCTACAATATCTGTGTAAGAAGACATCGTAGATATTCAGATGATTTTACTTTCATTATAAAGCATGTAAGTAGGAAATGTAAAGTACAAATAGGCCATAGCTCAGTGTATTTTTTTATCCATGTACCAAAACCTGAATTTTTAGGGTATTATATTTTTTAAAGTACAAAATTTATTGATAAGATACAGAACAATATATGAATAACCATGATAATGTAAAAGAAGAAATATAATATGCTATTAAAAACTATTTAAATTAAACCAATTGTAGGATGAGAAAAAGTGAGTATGATTAACATAATCTACATTATTATAATAAAACAAAATCATTATACCTTTAGGTTCTAATGGAGTCCCACCAAAAGGTCCTCTCCTGGCTATTATTTCATACAGAATTATGCCAAACGCATACACGTCACCCTTTTGCGTACCACCGACAGTACCGTTGGGATTATCTAATTCTCTTAATAATTCTGGTGATTTCCACAACAAACCTAAAATATAGAATTATTAATTCATAGGAGGATCTTACTAAATTAATCTTACTTTTACAAGGTAACATATTATGCAGTTTACAATGCTCCGCCAAATAGACGATGTGTTTGGTTGAATGTTACTTTTGTTATATTTTCTTCAAAACTTGAATGATTCTACTTGTGTTCTAATTGGTGCTACTCCCGTGTAAGTCCCATACTTTTGTCATGATTATCTTTTTTTATGTAAAAGTAATCAATCTGACAGCTTACCTGATGGTAAGCGATAACCACCGCATATATACGTGAACGACTATATGGATCGCGTTATCACGTGACACCCGTGACATCACTCCCATTCTAGATGTCTAAGATGTAATGCCTCATATCCTGTAGTTCACTATATTTTTATATTAAATGAAAAATAAAATAATATAGGTAATTAATTACCTCTGTAATGTTGATGCTCGCCTATGTATTCGTTTTCTGCACTATAACGTAATTCGTGAAGACCAAAATCTGTGACCTACAAAAAGAAAACAGTTGATAAACTGAAACTCAATAATTAATTTAAATTATATTTATTATTTCTCTATATTACCTGCAGCATCCACCTGGACGTGACTACACAATTCGAGGATTTAAGATTCCCGTGGAATATTAATGGCGAAGTATGAATAAAAGTCATACCCTGCAACAAATTTAACAAAGAATCAGTATGTAAGCCTGTCACCCGAAAGTTGTACACCAAACACTTAGGCAAATAGAATCACAGTAATGATCGCGGTTCTTTTATTCTTTTATTTAAGTTCTGACGATGATTATTATTTTAATAATTGGGTTGATGCAAAACAATTTTTTCATACCATAAAAAACATACAAAATAGTAAGCAATTTATTTTTTACAGGTGCCTACAAAGTCACGATACATGATAAGGGTATTTGAGTTCTATATGGATATTCAGACATTTGCATTTCCCATCCCATAGCTATTTCCTCATCATAGAATAATGTTCAGAAATGTGCATAGTGTGCTCATTTGGCAAATGTCAGTACCGAGGGAAATTATAAGCATGCTTTGGAAACATGTTTCCAAAGAATGTTAGGCACTCTTCTGTTTGTGGTATCTTGTTTTTCTAATCAACATAAAAGTATAAGTATGAATTCAAATTTTTATTCATAATTTAAAACAAACTCGGGCTCCAGTCTGAAATTATATAATATAATAATATATAAATGATATTTTACCTTTATGAGATCATGAACCAATGACGATATAAACATCTTGTCTAACTTTATATCTTCATTTTCTATTATATCCTGGAATAAAGACAATTTTCATTCATTTGTACATTAAATAATAGTCTAGTAGTTGACTACTCCGACTTAGATACCAAGGGTTCGAATCTGGTCGATATTAAAAAAAATGTGTAAATTTTTATTCTTACTACTCTTCGGCGATGGTAACACCGATAACAAACAAAATTATTTAGTCATGCTGCGATAGGATTTAAATATGCCTGGTTTTCTCTATTGGACAAGTCAAGTTGACAATTAATAATGACTACCTCCTCTGGGATAAAAATCGTAAGGTACAATTAGGAAAAAATCACGTTTTATTTATTTTATTAAAACAGTATATAAAAATTGTAAGGATATATCGTATTAAACTTTCTCAAGATCGAAGTGGGTGTTTGTTACACTTACATACAAACTTCCTTTGGCACAGTAATCAGTAATGAGTAACACCCGGACGGGCTCCACAACCGCGCCGATGAACGAGTTGAGATTATCGTGGCGCAGCTCTCGCAACAGACGCATCTCCTTCATCACGTCGCGGGAGATGTCCTTCAAAAAGTACTACTATATAACACACCATCTATTGCTTATGTAAGGTGCTACCAAACTATCTACAGTTTCTATGCTGCATGGTACAGTTTACATATTATATTCATAAAGGAATTTCATTTTGTGGTTGTATAATTTTTTTTATAAAAATTACAATTATTCTATACCTAAAATTTATTTACTGTATGTCAACAGGAATTTACTACATTCATTCTATATGTACTATAGTAGTAATCAATACGCTTATAGTATTGTGACTGCAAATAAGAAAATAGTAAATTTCACAAAACAATAAGGAACCGTCGACAGGCATTATAAGAACAAAAAAATAATATATTATTACGGAGTGTCTAAAGAAATGTCCACATTAATGTTTGTGTTTTAACAGTTTCTGAAGGACGGACTATGCGCATTATTCACTTGCCATCAAATAGGTCGTAAACTTTTTTTTAAATGTTTGCTGTATAAAATTATTAATATACAACATTAGTAAATATATATATATATATATATATATATATATATATATATATATATAAAATATTCTAATCACTTACCTTCTTTTTGGAGAATTTTAATTCCTTAATCCTAACTACATTCCCTTTGTATTGTGCTGTGGTTGTAAAAATTTGTGTACAACATCTACTCTCATACGACAAACCACTTGCTAAGCTGAGCTAAAAATATAAATATACTTTGTTAATATTTAGATTGTAGACACTGACAAAGACACTAACTCAAGAATGTAAAAGATACAATCTGATTTAAGTGTTTTTCAAATTTAGTGTTTTAGTTTATAAAAACTAAAACCTACGTATGTCTAGTAGCAGTACCAAATTTTATGATAATATCACTTACTTTACTGGGAGACCACACCAGGCCGCTACCAAGGTACCCCGCTATTTCATGAGGATCAATCTTCCACAGCAGCCCCTCGATTTCTTGTTCAATCTTCCACTTGCGATATATACTGATTGTGACGACTAAAGCGCAAAACAGCGTGACCGCCAATGTGCCAGCTACCACAAGCGACGTAATCTGCGAGTCATCTTTCGGACATTTCTCATTGAGAAAGCCGCAAGACGGTTCATCTTCAGGTTTAACATTATCCGGCCAGTCAATTTGTAGCCGTGGATTTAATTTGTATTCCTAAAAATTACAAAATAAAAATATATTGTTCTATTCTATTATTTGTTTTACTAAGATTAACCAATGCATATTAGAAATGACAGATAGTTATAGAAAAAATAGGATAAACTATTACTACTTAATAGTCCAACATTTTAATAAATACTTAATACCAACAAAAATAATAAACTAGAACATGGAAAACTATTCTACCAGTGAATATTCTGTGAATTTAATGCACATATAAACTACTAGCTGTCCCGGCAAACGTTGTTTTGCCTTAAAATAAAATAAAAAAATTTAGGTGTGGACTACCCCTAACATATAGGGGGATAAAAATAGATGTTGGCCGATTCTCAGACCTACTCAATACGCTCACAAAATTTCATGAGAATCGGTCAAGCCGTTTCGGAGGAGTATGGGAACGAAAACTGTGACACGAGAATTTTATATATAAACTATAAAGACTAACTATCTGTTGTCGTCTAAGTAAAGTCGATGAAGTAATGAAACAGCTTTGCCGGCTCTATTTTGGAGAAAGAACAATGTTTATGTTTTAGTATGTAAAACTTACAGGAAACTGTCGGGAGCTCTGCTGGAAATGACCGACGGGTATCATGGTGTGCGAACAGTTCATGTCTCCGTCGCTGAAAGTAGTCGGTTTGAACGCCAACACAGAAAAATTGCCCTCAGAGTCAGCGCGCTCGTCCAGTCGTATCGACATACCTGCCACACCTATGACAAACAATTACAAGTATTTAAAACTAGCCGTGCCCCTGTTTTGACTCGCGTTAAATTTATAGCCTATGTGTTGTTACGATAAGCTACATTAATGTAAAGTTTCATTCAAATCCATTCTGTAGTTTCTGCATGAAAGAGTAACAAACATCCATCCATCTCAAACTTCCGCGTTTATAAAATTAGTAAATAAGATAAATTTATATTTAATTAAAACATACATTATTATGGTATATTGTTACAAAAACAAGGGATTCTTTGTTCATTGTAATATGGATGGTATTTTATATGCGAACATACATGCATATTACATTATATGGTGTTGGTGGGGTTACCACAAACGCCACTTAAAAAAGACCATTAGAATTAGTTAAATCCATGGTGTAAAACATATATTTATTCAATTTTTTTTTATATATTTTATACTATAATAATAATAATATAGTAACTCTTTGTTGCACAGAAAAAATATTTAAAAAAAAGAACTTTATATAAATGTGGTAAACAAAACTCGTCCTTATCCCTTAAAGTAATCTCTTACACACTATAGTATAATATAATGTAATATTAGTATATAATACAGTAGTAATTCTACTTTCATACAAAAAGATTCTAAATGCGAAATCTTTGTAACTTACTTTTAAATGGAGTGCTCTCAATCATTTTAGCGACTATACGAGATCCATTTGTGGCGATGCTCAATAACTTAGTGTATGTCAGCTCATCTTTCTTAGTGTCCTCTCTTATTAATTTATCTAGAGCCGTCGCATATAGTTTTACGGAGTCATATAAATAAGCAGCATATATGGACACAAACTGTAAAAATATATAAAAAATATTACAAATTAAAAGTGAGCCTGCAAAATCAAAAATGTCTAAATCCAAGCATATTAAGTCATTCAGGAAGCTATGAAAACCGATACATTTGTCAAGATATCCAAGATAGTCCATGTTTAATTAAAATCATATTGCTAAGAAACACACTCTCTCCATATTTGATTACGAACTGAAATTAAAATCATTTTACGACTTGTATTCTACTTGAGGCTAATAAAATGAAAGACAGCTCAGGTATAATGTAATACCGTTTACTTGTTCACATAAGAAATTCTTTCTTTTCTTGTCTTTCTTCTGTAATGTATTTATTTATGTTATTCCATGATAGATCAATTAGTCTGCACTCAAGGGAAGTCAAGTATAATTTAACACGCCAAACATAAAACTGAAGTACAGTACTGCATTATAATTTTTTTACAAAATATATAAAACCAGGAATATTGTATTATACTTACAGTGTAACACAAAACCTAGACTTAATCAAACTTAAAAAAATATATGTCATAATGAGTCACCTTCCTTGTTACAAAATCATGTTGACCAGTATAAATAATAATAGAGTACCTTATTAAATTTATTCTCAAAGACAGCGGGTAATGGGAACTTGAACGGCTTCAATGTGTTGTAAAGGCGCACTTTAGCTGTGAAGTGTTCGTAACTGCCGGTGGGCTCCGACGAAACCACCACCAGCAGTGACTGTGAACGTTTGCGGAACTCGTTCGTGCTCGGACATGCCATTTTCAATGAACCGCGATCTTCAGTTTCTATAAAAAAAATATACATATACCATAAACAAAGATATACAGGAGTAATAAGAGTGAGTTAATGAACTTACAAAAAATACGGGTCATTATAAATATACATAACGCTGGATAATTCACACAACGCCATCTAATTACAAACTAAATAGAGTATGTACTATAAACACTTTATTTTGTAAACACATAGGTGGTACGTAATATACATAATAATACTTGTTAATATCTTACATTCCTAATTTGACGTGTAGGTAGTATAATAATGTTATATGATAATGCAATTGCAAAAATACTCACTAATTAAATATTTCAGTGAATCCTTGGGGGAATAAGTCATCATATCGACGAATATGACCATGTACTTTCCATTCACAAACAGTTGCAATGACTCCATAGCCGTCATCATGTCAATAAGACCAGATGTGGATCCCAAAAACACATAAACTAAAAGAAAAATACTGCAATTAAGCACATATATCTTTGTTTAGTTACAAAATCTATGTATTTTTTAACAACGTACGAGCCACAACACAAAGCTGAGTCGAAAAAAAATACGAATATACGAAATAAATAAAATGCTAAAAAGAGCATGGACCTTAAGTCTATGGACAACAAGACTTACTACAACTTACTACTTTTAAAAAACGTAGTAAGTTGTAGTAGGCGAAATACCATACAAGTTGACGGCCAACTTGATGAAAAGTGGCAACCGTCGCCGTCGTCGTATATACATAAACAATACTAATATTAGGTCCTATGGTGCCAGTAATATATGCGTTGCCTATATACCTTGTTTTTTTTTTACTGTAAACCATAGCACAACTTGCTACAATAGCTGTTTAACAACGGAATAAGACAAACAGGTGCCCACGAAGAAGTCTATAAGATATACTCAATTGTTGATTCTCTATCAATAAATAAATAAATAAATATATATTTCTATAAATATGTACCTACTTTATAGAAATTAGATTTGTATACTAATATTAACATCTAACACTCTACTTTCAAATAAATTTGAGAATTAAACTCACTTCTAGTCCTATTTTTGGTATCTTGTATAAACTGATACCAGAAACCGGGCGCGCAGCACGTGAGCTTCTCCTCGCAGCACTTGAAGCCATCAATGACTGGCCGCTGGTGATTCACGGTCATATTATTCCTCTTCGCATGGTTCTCCAGAGTGAGTGCCACCGTCACCCATGGCTCTTCATATAATATAGAGAATTTGTTCCATCGATGATAGCGCAGAAGTGATATTACTGATTTTGTAGCCTGTAAATATTATGCGTATTATTTAAACACTAGAGGCCCACTTCGATTTCGCACCGGAGTGCAGTATACAAGAAGAAGGTCGTATAGCAACATACAAGTATTATAGATATAAACTTTCCGGAAGAAAGTCTTGATATGTTAGTGAAACCCGTAACCATCATTCAAAAGAATTAAACGAAGCAACGGACAGACCGACGGATACAGTAATAATAATAAAAGTGACTTTCTTAGATACCGATGATAAATAGACATAAACCTTTTGATTGATATATCTCTGGAAAATTATAAGTTTTACCAATAGATATGAAACAGCATATTGCAGAAATACATTTGTAATAATAAACTACATTGTAATAATAAATACACAAGAGAAAAGTGTACGGGTATATTGTTTCTTAAAATAATATTATTAAATAGATCAGCAATATTGTTACCTGCGTATCCGGAGGTTCCAGTCTAGCAAATGTTGATAGAGTAGAAATTTGGTAGTCCGAACATTTCTGAAAATATAAATATATAATATTTATTATATTATACTTTAAACGTCTAAACTGTGAAAAATTACTTTTAACCTTTCATAAAAAGTTAGTGAAATCGATACTATATAAAGTAGAAGTTAATACCATACATAATTAAAGCAGAATTACAATAAACAATAAGCTATTTCAGTTTTCTTTCTGACAGAAAAAGATCCACTCAAAAAATGTATTATTAACAAGAGTAGGGTCACTATAACTTACGTAAATGATATAGACTTAGAGTAAGGTACAATAAATTTAGTATAACAATAACTCACATAGGAGATCATCGGTAGGTTCCTAGACTGAGCAATTATAGCCTCAGTGTTGCAGCGTCCTTCGGGCCCGAAGAAGGCGACCACGCCCGAACAGCTCATGTCGGTGAGCAAGCGGGTAGCTGTGATTGTGTCGAACTTTGTGTCGTTCCATTGTAGCATAAGTTGCACATCTGGAAGTATGTCTGTACTGTTGTTGATCTGAAAGCATACAAATAAATAATTTAACAAATGGCAGTTTATTATAAGTCTTGTAACATAGTTTAGCATAAAGAGCCTAATCAGGTCAGATCATGGAACACTGTTTATAGATAATAGACGAGGCTAAAGAAAATACGCAAGAACAATTACAAAATTGATTGACATTAAAAAACAATTTTCTTGAATGAAAAAGCAATGCTCACACCTAAAAAAATTTTTTCAAAATTATATTATTAGCTGTACAATTTCATTAATACTTAACAGTGTATGCACTGTTATAGTAAAAACATGTAAAAAGTTTAATATTTCTTCTAATTTAACACTATGACCTCTATTTTTACTTAATTTCGTATATACATGTCGAGATTTTCTTATAAGTATGCCCAGAACTGTGTTAAATTGTAAACACAGACAATAAGCACGAAAGCGACCAAAATTTCCACAAACACGTTGGTCACACAAACCCAGTTTCTTATTCACACAAAACGTTAGGTGAAAAAACATAAATATTAGTTCCTCACATATTTTTCATTAAAAATACTCTTTATCAAGATGGTCTAACTTGAAAGTAAATTTTATAAACATGCAATTTGCAAAGATATAAGATACTTTGTATTAAGTTGTCTATATGGGTATCCCAATCTCAGATATTTCAGCTAGACAAAGCAGTATAAGTTGTGTTGTAGTTTAAAAGATATGGCAATGAAATTACATGATACGCAAGTATGACAACTTAGTCCTCAAGAATGGCAACGCATGAAGGGTACGACGGGCGACGTAATGCCATTTTCCATCTGGTTGTCCGTCAACTTGCTTACCATTCCACTTGAAACAAAAAAAAATAAGTGCGTTACTATTTTTGAATTTTGTAGCAATCGAATAAATTATCCATGTGGATAAACAGATAAGATCGCACATCTATGCCACTAAGGCTTCGTTTTAATTCGTGCCAGACTTCGATGGAACAGCGAATTATTTGGAGAGAGCACTCGTCCTGTCGAGTGATAATGAACTATCGCTGTCTCTATCGTTCGGTAGCTTACAACATGAATCGCAATATAAAAGTTATATTCTTAGTTGTACACCAATACCCTTTTTCCTGGCCATATGAAAGACCGTAGTGTATATTTCTTTACTTTTAATCAAGGTACTTATCAACACCAACCTCCTCGAGAGCCATAGACAGTGCTCCGGAAATAGCGAGGCCCTGCCTGTCCCGCAGTTCGCCTTTTATCGAGGGCAGGTATCCGATGGTGATGTTAAACTTCTTGGTGGCATGCGAAGGCCCGGCCAGTAGGCCCAGCGCCACGAGTATGAGCACCCGGGCGCCGCCCCACATGCCGCCGCCTTCACCGTAGCACCCTCACCTAATGGCCAAAACAATTACTATATTAAAAATAACAACCAGTACCTCCTCAATTCTAATCAATCGTATCTTATCATTTCTGATCACAAAACAATACATAACATAATTAAAAAAAATATACTATTTAGAATTTTCAACAATCGATCGAAATCCGTTGTGTAGTTTTAAAGATTTAAGCATACATAGGGACCGACAGACAGCCACAGCGACTTTGTTTTATACTATGCAATGATGATGTATTTGTTAACCAAAAGATTTACTTACACTTCATATTTCGTTTTAAGTATATATTATTACAACCTAGAGATGTTAATATAATAAGACATATCTATCAATAATATGTACTTTTTCTACAAGGTCGACTAGCTTATAGCAAGCTAAAATAAAGTGAAAATATAAGAACAATTCTTAAAACTTCCTAAATTGATCACAGCACCGCGTGGTTTGTATGAAAGCTTGTATAACTATTCTGATATTTGATTTCTACTTCTTGGGTAGTGTAATACAGCTCAGTTTCAGAAAAAAACCTGACCCATACACAAATACAAAAAATATAAAGGTACAAATATCAGGTTAATTCCGTAGTTTAAATGCTTTCCTTCCAGTTTATTGGTTACTTTACTTTAACTGTGTACTTTATATTCAACACTTGTCGCAAAATTACCCAACGAGAACACGTGGAAATACGTTCACGTCATTGGCATATTATGGTTTAATTTCAATACTGACGACTGACGTCATGCCTATCTTGTCTCCTTGACTATAATATGTTATATAATACGTTATAATATGTATACGTCACCTTGTGTAATTGCAATAGCAAACTTAAGAGCAAGCTGGGGAGGAAATGCCGCTGGTGGTTGTATTACTCTTGCAAAAATTAAATATCTCTTTTGGAAAGTATACACTATAACCTGAGGACATGAAGAATATCATTCAATTCTTATCCCTGACGGATCTAGGTAGCGAACTAGCGAATACACGAGCCCGAAGACAATAGCCCAAACCCCTCAAAATATCATACTTCTGTACACTATACTTTTTTGTCATATCTATCCCCTGATAGTAGATATACTCTAAAAATCAAGTCGCCTTAAAAATTACCCAATGAGAAAAAATGCGACGTCATTGGCATATTATGATTTTAAAACAATATTCTGACGATCAATCTTGTCTCCCTGACTATAATATATTACACCTCTAATTCTATAATACCACAACTCTTACTTTTAAACTTATTTAGCTGTGACTATATCATACCTATTCATCGGCTATTTATTAGGTACGTGCTATTATAATAAGTAAATACAAAGGTGTGATTTGTGGCTCGGATATTCTCGTATACATACTAGAATCATATCAATGCATTGTTAGGTAACATTTTATTCATAGTGCCTTTATATCAAGTGGCTTATGATAAATATGTGGAAAATTCTATTGTTTATGCATTTGCGTTTCATTTGGCTTAATTATAGTAAACTGGCTATTACCTGTTTTATTTTTTGTTTGTTTTTTTTTACACACACAAAAGATAGCCTATCTCCACTTTCGTGATGCAAACTATGTTTAAATCAAATTTCATTAGAATTTGTTCAGCCGCTAGTTGTGAAAAGGTAACAAATAGATAGACCAACTTTCGAGTGTGAGTAACTTAGGATCGTAGGATAATTCCAAAATTCTATACAGTTAAGTAACAAAGATTTAATATAATTATATTCATTGTTATTGGGACACTCTTAGTGTCTGTTCAGAAAAAGTGGAACGAATGAATAAATGAAAACAAATGATTCAAGTAAACATAAATTGTAAATTAGTTTTATAAATTAGCAATGTACAAATTATCCGTCGTTATATTTATATTCCTACTCGTAAATAACACATAGTATAAAAACCTAGCAAGACTCATATATTTTATAGCTTTATTATTACTTATCTAGGTGCTCACGTAGATCGTGAGCAAATGTTATAGTAATTATAAATATAATGGCCTATATATGCATTTCCGACATTACCAATTCTATACTTAGATAAGAATCGTGAGAAATCCTATAGATTTTTCAGTACAAGTCATTGTCCTATTGCGATAAGAGGATAATCGGTTGATAACAACAATTGTTGATAGTGTATACATTGACGACGGTATGCCGTTGCAAGATCATCTCATTCACTTAGGTACTCATCTATTTTTAAGATCGACCCAATTGAGGGTGGAAAGGCGGCCGGTGAGTAAGAGAAGGGACAACACGCGAACTACACAAGCCTGTATTGTAACAGGCCTGCGCAGTTTGCGAACAAATTATAGTATGTTTTTTTATCACAAAGATAAATTTGACATTACCTATGTTGCCAGCTTTTTGCCATTTTTATTGTTATGACACTATCGCAAATTAACATGTATTACTTTTATAGATATTAGATTTTATAGGTAATTCAGAAATAACTTGTGTGTGTTTATTTAATACTCTTTGACAGAAAATTAATTATGTATAGGTTTTAATAAAGATAGGATTGATGTATCAAAATAGTTTTTTTAACGACATATATTTCCCTAAAACACAGCCTGAATGCCTTTTTTATAAAACAAAAAATGACCCTTGTATAGTGTTATATTTCAAAAAACATAAATCTATTTAAAATATTTAGCTGTTGGAAAGAATAAAATAGATAGTTTGTATTTTACTACCGTAAAAATTACAATATGTATGGAAACCACATGAAATATATTTTACTGTTGTTTAATTCAAAGACAATAATGGAATCACTAGTGTAAGTAAATATGTTGTGTAAACTTCGTATAAAAATTTAAAACTAATCGTCTAATATAAAATATTACGATTCAACAAATCGATTTTGACATTTACACTTTAAATTGAGTCTCCTAGATTAAAAAACAGATTATCGTAGACCGGTCACAAAACGAACTTTGTAAAAGAAGTTCGAAGAAATAAAAACATTTAGGAACAAGAACAAGGCTTAAAGGTTGGCCAGCATATTGCCTTTCTATGACTCCAGTCGTTCAATTGGGAGAACTGAACGACGAAAAGACGAGCTAGTTCGCAATAGAACTGCGAACTAAATTGAGCGTTCCGAATGGCGAACTGTGTATGCACACAAACCTATATGCAAGACTATATTGATAACTATATGTATACGTGTAGTATACATCTAGTCCTTTTGGATGTAGTGTATACTTTATATTTGGATTTTTAGCTCCTTATTGAAAATAACAATTTTTCGACAAATTAAAATTTGGTTGGTTAATTTGTTGTGCTTTTAAATAAAAATAAATAATCGTATAGTCACTTCGAAAATTCTACATCTAGAACACTAGGGATGAATACAAGTAATAAAGTGACATCATATTGAAAGTGAATCCCATAAAACTGGTACTTAAGTTGTCAGATGGAGACTAAGAAAGCAGTTTTTAAGAATTATTAACAATTACAAACAGGACTATCTTTAGGGAAGTGAAATAAGAGGAGAATGTTTACAAAGTAATACATTTTCTTCACAGGACAGTCGGAAGTCTTTCAGCATTGGACAACAGGGTGAATTAAGTTGATGGTCATAATAATAGCTCATTATTCTATAGTCAATACTATAGTAATTTAAAGGAACTGCTAAATTATTCAGTTTAAAGTTTATATTCATATTATTAACCCATACCAAGCTCGAACTGATCAGTTTAGTGAAAAGAGGTAACGTCGGCAATGGTAAATTTGTCTCAATGAAGATTGGTTGAAATTTTTCTTTAAAGTCATCTAAACTCCATATATGAAAAATACTATATAATATTTCTTATACCTATATTATTATGTGTACTCAACTTAGGTATTGTGTACACAACGTTTACATTGTAATTTTATTAAACCGATTAGGTAACATTTGCTAAACTGTGCTTATTTATAGCCTACAAACTAAAAAATAATCTAAGATTATAGAAAACCGATAAAAATAATATATGTACATTGCTTGTATATGTATGGAATGAAAAGTACTAACATTTCCTATCTAGCAAAGTAGCACCAACTGGTTGTGTCGGCTTGAATGTTTACTAGTTATATAGAATATATTGAAGATTATAATAATATTACAGTTCCAGAAACGTACAGACAAGCACATATAACATAATTAGCAATAAAATAGTGAAAAATAAACACCAACATTCGGTTAGGATATTGCTCCTGTTAAAATTCAAGTAAAAAGAATACACAAAGCAGCTATATATGTCTATTATTCTTATGATTATAACTCACTGATGTACCACTTCTTGTTTAGATTCATGTACATACTGTCTATCAACTTATGAATAAAAATTGTAATATAACTTTGGTACTACTGAATATAAATAGCATACGAGTTCACGGCGCTAAATAGTTATCAGGCACACGATGGCGAGACTGACCTTCTAAAATCGAAAAATCACTACAAGTAAACGCTACAGGAAATATATATATATATATATAATTGTAGAGAAATCGTCAAAAACCATGCAAATAATTATGAAGTCCGATTTAATAGTTATACATATCGCCTAAACCAAGTAAATACTAATTGCAGTGTATCGTATATTTCTTATACTTGTAAAACTATTGTTACATTATTTGAACGAAATTGTGTATGTGAGAATGCGACCAGTGAAGAGCTCACTAGTTTTATTTCATTACGTCCATCCATCTAGTTCTCGACCTTACTCTGGATCTCGATCCGAGAACGGACAGATTTTACACTTCATAACCGATGGAAGTGGGAGGTCAAATGTATTACAGACGTATTGCATTGAAGTTCGGTTTTAGCTATTTGAATGCAGAACACAAGACTTCTTTTTTATCTGTGGAGATAAAATAAATGATTTTATCTGTATAGATAGATGTATATGTATATATAAATAAAATGGAGTGTCTGTTTGTAACATTAATATAAACATTTTTCATGAAATACACATATTCAAAAAATGTTATTGTGGCGTATTCATTTTTTACAATTTTTGTCTGTCTGCCT